CCCGTCGATACTTTACCAACCCGTCGATACTTTACCAACCCGTTGATACTTTACCAACCCGTCGATACTTTACCAACCCGTTGATACTTTACCAACCAGTCGATACTCTACCAACCCGTCGATACTTTACCAACCCGTCGATACTTTACCAACCCGTCGATACTTTACCAACCTGTCGATACTTTACCAACCCGTCGATACTTTACCAACCAGTCGATACTTTACCAACCCCTTGATACTTTACCAACCAGTCGATACTCTACCAACCCGTCGATACTTTACCAACCCGTCGATACTTTACCAACCCGTCGATACTTTACCAACCCGTTGATACTTTACCAACCCGTCGATACTTTACCAACCCGTCGATACTTTACCAACCCGTCGATACTTTACCAACCCGTCGATACTTTACCAACCCGTCGATACTTTACCAACCCGTCGATATTTTACCAACCCGTCGATACTTTACCAACCCGTCGATACTTTACCAACCCGTCGATACTTTACCAACCCGTCGATACTTTACCAACCCGTCGATACTTTACCAACCCGTCGATACTTTACCAACCAGTCGATACTCTACCAACCCGTCGATACTTTACCAACCCGTCGATACTTTACCAACCCGTCGATACTTTACCAACCCGTCGATATTTTACCAACCCGTCGATACTTTACCAACCCGTCGATACTTTACCAACCCGTCGATACTTTACCAACCCGTCGATACTTTACCAACCCGTCGATACTTTACCAACCCGTCGATACTTTACCAACCCGTCGATACTTTACCAACCCGTTGATACTTTACCAACCCGTCGATACTTTATGAACCCGTGGATACTTCCCGAACCCCATATTTTCCCAACAGTTTTATTTGGAGGGGGGGGGGTTGACAGTGGCAGTTGACCCACTTCTACAACAGCTGGCAGTTTTGTAAAGAATGTACACTACACCCCCCCCCCCCCCCCAACAAAACCTGTAATCCTCGAGTTAAACTTGAGCCAGTGTTTCAAGTCTGTCTTACGGACCAGTTTATTCTGTGACCCCCGACCCGTCTTACTTGACACACACATAAATAGTTTCCAGCTTGTTGTCTCTCCAAGCAGGAAAACTCCGTCCACTTCTTGAACAAATTGTTTATTTTTACAATAGAGTTACCGAACCTGACAAATACCAAAGTTGATATTTTAATTGGTAGATCGCAGGTAATCCGATTCTAAATCTAATCTACAATATATATATATATATATATATATATATATATATATATATATATATATATATATATATATATATATATATATGTTACGGTCAAAGCCCGAAGTCGGCCAATGCTAGGATTGGCCGGCCAATCCGCGCATTGGCCAATATCGCCTCCCATAGGTCGGCCAAAGTCCGAAACTTTGCTTCATTTCGGCCTTTGGCCGGCCAATCCGCAGACTGGCCATTGTGGACCGGCCAAAGTCTGAAATAGCTCTTGATTTCGGCCTTTGGCCGGCCAGTCACGGCCAGTCCGCGGACTGGCCATGGTGGACCGGCCAAAGTCTTAATTAGAAGATCATGAGCAGATTTTGGTTTTTTTTATGCCGGTAGGATCATGCAATTAAGTCTTTATTGATTATTAATTAAAGTAAATGACATAAACATTCAAATTTTTTATTGTACTATAGTCTCAATCAATCAATATTATCATTTTTTACAACAAGTTGAACTTTTATGGCATTTAGAATTACATAGCAGCTTGTTATTTTTACACTTGCAGCGATTTGTTGTACACTTGGTTGTGCAATTGCAGCGAGTGTAGCCTTGGCCCCCAGTCAATGATTGTGAAGATGCGATGAAGATGCGATGGTTCGTAGTGATTTTTCCTCAGTGCCAACTGACGACAATAAGAGCAGTTTTTCGTGAAGAATTGAAAATTCACTTCTAGCATACAGTTGTTTTAGAACACCATGTTCGGTTCCTAATTTGTAGAAACCGCCCTCGACGCTCATGACAACTGCAATCACGCTTCGGGGATCACCGCGACCTCTGTCAACATCTGGAACACGGATGCGTACATTGTCACCCACTTCACCATCTTTAAATTTTGTATTTGATGTTTTAAGCATCTTAGCACCTTGATTTTGCAAGCCAGTATGAGCTGCTGACCTGTGTTCCATGATGTCTTGTTTGTTGTGACACAATCTGCAGGTAATGTTCCCTCCGTACCCTTTGTCTGCTTCATTGGGTACTCCACAAATAGCATGGACATCTTTGCCACAGGATCCACAAGAATGAGCTGCACTACAATGTTTTTCACAAACTATACAGAATCTGTTGGCCACATTATTATCACGCAACTGGTCTGGACGTTCCGCCACGGCAGTAGATGTGTGAGCTGAGGATGTAGTTGCATTTATGGCAACCTCCATTTCTTGTTCAGTGTTCTCAAGATCTTCCTCAGTAGCTATTTTATTGAGAGCCTCTCTTGGTAGATTTGAAGTGCTAAGTCCCACTTTTGCTTTGCATCCAAACAAGGCTTCGTATGGTGATTGTTGGATTCCTTGATGAAAAGAACGATTTTTCATAAATTGAATGAATTTGAGACTCTCAGCCCAATGAGCTGATTCATTTGTTTGCATCCATGTCATCATCATGTTTTGAACATCTAGGAACGCGGAAAAGTCTTTTGAACGTTCCGTCTTGTTGCACGTGGTCGGTGACGCCGACTGTCTTTTGTTCTTTGATGATTGTCTCACCTCGTCATCATGGAGGAGGCTGTCACATACAGTTGTAGCCCATATATTGAAACTAACATGGATTTACATTTTTTTTCTTTTGACAGCCATTTGCTATGTCTGTCTCATGGTCTGGCGGCCCTTTTGATCCATGTCGCCTTGCATATATAATGCTATACAAACAAGAGCTAAACAATACGTTACTCACAATGAAACCGCACCCAGAATAATTAAAACGCGATCACAACTTAGTCTAGATACAACATTGGCCAGGACATCCCGGCCAATGCGCGCATTGGCCGGCCAATGTACAAAATACGCTGTCAAGTTTAAGTACTTCGGACTTTGGCCAGTACGTCCCGGCCAGTGCGCGCATTGGCCGGCCAATGTACGAAATACGATCTTAGTTCTAAGTTCTTCGGGCTTTGGCCAAGAGAGCCGGCCAATCCGCGCATTGGCCGGCCAATCCGGGGTTTGGCCGCACTTCGGGCTTTGACCGTAACATATATATATATATATATATATATAAAGAGGGAAATTTTACTAATGTGTAGATCTTCCTAGTTCCTAAATAACGAATGTTACAAAAAATTAAAAAATAAAATAAAAATAAAACCGGGCTAAACGTATTTTTAATGCTTCAGTTAACTTTCGGCACACCAACAGAGGTTAGAGGTCACTAACCTAGCGCTGGCTGTGACGTAGAAGAAATATATTCACCAAAGGTTAGATAGACTTTACAAGTTTAACATAGTCGTATGGTGATTAAACCCATTCAGTGGTGGGGAATAGTGTAGGTGGTTCTGTTGCCGAGCCTGTTCTTGTAATGCCGTGTAAAGGTCTTGAATAATATGGTAAGTGTAAAAATTTAATTGGTCTATTCAGCTTGAAAAACAACCGGCTACAAATCTGTATTATTATACTTTAAAATTGATGTGTACTAGATCTACTAGTATAGTAGTATAATAGTAGGCCCTAATAAATACCAATAGCCTATGTAATTAGTGGGATTTATTGAATTTGGTGTGTGGTAGATTATGTAGCGTAATTTATAGACAAACCAAGTAGGGTGCTAAATAAATACAAGAGTATCGTTCAAGTAAGACCTGATTGTATGCTGGCTAGTAGCTTACAGTGTTTGTATGATAAAAGACATACATGCTATTTAATGCTAAGGTAGAGTGCTCAAAATAGATCTATAAAAATCAAGAATCCCCACACTGAAAAATCAACGAATTACAAATATTTGTTTGGAACATTTTTATAAAAAACTATTCGTATTATTATTCTCGATTTATTTCTAAACAACTACACAGCAGCATATGTTCAGGGAATTAACTTTTAAACAAGACACAATGTCGGAAATTAATTTTTTTTCCAGAAAACACTGTTTTACTCCTGTCAACCACCTTGTAAAGCACAATCTAGATTAATTTAAAATTCCTAACTATAAAAAACAACTCGATGTTACGAAATGCCAAGCATACATTTTTCTCAATACCGTTAATTTAGTCCTTCCATGTAGGGGGTGGGCAGTATTACCGACCACTCTCAATTTGACGTCCCTCTCTGACGACCCCTCTCCATTTGACGACCCTTATCAGTAGAGACTAGCATTCCCTCCTGCTCGAGGTTGTTGTTTGTTTCCTTCGTTAGAAAAAAAAAAAAACCCACAGTATCTCTATGCTGGGAGTAATTTTAGTAAAGGTGTTAGCGTTGTATTGTTAATTTTTTCCTCCATTTTAAATTAAAAATTTTTAGTACATGTATCAGGGTTGTATTGTAAATCTTTTCCTCCATTGTAACATTGGTTGTATCCTCTATCGTCTGACCCTGGTGTTCATGTCTGTGGTGTTCATGTCTGTGGTGTTCATGTCTGTGGTGTTCATGTCTGTGGTGTTCATGTCTGTGGTGTTCATGTCTGTGGTGTTCATGTCTGTGGTGTTCATGTCTGTGGTGTTCATGTCTGTGGTGTTCATGTCTGTGGTGTTCATGTCTGTGGTGTTCATGTCTGTGGTGTTCATGTCTGTGGTGTTCATGTCTGTGGTGTTCATGTCTGTGGTGTTCATGTCTGTGGTGTTCATGTCTGTGGTGTTCATGTCTGTGGTGTTCATGTCTGTGGTGTTCATGTCTGTGGTGTTCATGTCTGTGGTGTTCATGTCTGTGGTGTTCATTTCTGTGGTGTTCATGTCTGTGGTGTTCATGTCTGTGGTGTTCATGTCTGTGGTGTTCATGTCTGCTGGCCTCTACAACAAAGCTCCTCTCATTTTCCAGGCAGACGTCCATCCAGACGAGGACACCGGAAGTTTCGACGTGTCAAGGTCAAACAGTGAACCCGGGCCCCGGCCCCCCCTGCCCCGCGATAAAAAACTGGAGCCCGCCGACCAGAACAAACAGCCCGCTGCGCCCGCCAAGCGGAAATTTATCGTCCTGCCGACCAAGATGTCGGACTTGAGGGCCGCTAATCCTGTCAACGAGTCCGAAACCGACGCGGCGTCGACGGAAAACGACCGGGCGAAATTCAGCCCTTCGCAAAAGTTGGAGGGGAATATTTTCAGCCGGGCGCTGAAGAACTTTCGGGGCAGGAAACCTTCCGGGGAGTCGGGGCGCCAGAATTCAGAGGAGATGGAGTTTTCCAGCACGCCGCCGCTGCTGGGGGGCGTCAGGGGAGAGGTGAGCCCGATCCAGGCGGCGGCAAGGAGCGACAGCGTCAACACCTACAACAATGAGGATACGATTACGTCATACGCCGAGAGCGATTGGGCGGCGCCTGTCATGATGAGGAAGAAAAAATCCAGTGAGTTTTTTGTTTTATTAATTCATGTTAGTCTAACTAAGCCAACATTTCTATAGTAACATTCTTATTTTCATAAACATGAATGTCATGTATGACACATGCTGTCAGTCACACACACACTGGCACACACACACATTATCACACACATACTTCACACACATTGTCACATACACATTGTCACACACACACATACATCCTTTGTCAGACACACACATCAACATTGTTAGACACACACACGCTGTCAAATAACACCCTTACAACCTATCAGTGTTTATTTCCGACATTTTTCTCCCGGGAGGGGGGGGGGGGGGGGCTTGAAACTCAAGGTGGGGGAGGGTGGTAAGTGGACAATGATTAAAACCAGGGGACAATGCCCTCCCCCCCACCAAGCCCATAGAGTCATACACACAAACCCACCACCAATTTGAGCTTGAATGTATTACCAACCAACTGTATCGAATCACAAGGTCACGTGAGTTGTATAACATGACGTCACCAACATGGCGTCTGAAAGTGAAAAGCAAACATTTTAAAAAAAATCAACTGTTGCGCCAAGCACGGAACTGATTTCGGTGCATATCTGATCCCCCTAAGTCAACAGCCGTTAACAAATTTTAACATAACGTCTAGTGTTAGCAGAGGTGTGGACTGAATTTTTAACATTCGTCTTCGAATATTTTTTTTTACCCTTGTACACATTTTAAATAAAAGAAAATGACTAACTATAGAAAAAAAAAAACCAATTGGTCGTATAATGGTACAATAACGGTACTAGCATTGGCACGTGGTACTCCGTGTTACCTAACACAAGAATAATCCCCGTATGATGGTTCACTTAAGGAGACACTGCTGATTGCTGCGTTGTTCACTAGCTCATTTTTTTTACTGCTGGCTTGGGTTATTTTAAATCGCGCTCAGAACCCGATGGCTGCTTTTTTTTTCTGACAGGATTGGGTATATTTTATTATTTTTATACTGTGATGGATTCGACTGTGGATTTTTATTTTACTGGATAATGTTAAAAATATATACCAGCCGTACTAGATTTTCTTGTGCTTAACTAAATATTTCTTAAAATCTGAGATAAGTGAAATTTAGACAGCTTTAAAAAAATTTGTATCCGAAATGTCAACTGCTAACGAGATTGAAATGAACCATCTCGGCCTAAAGAAGGGGAGGAAACTGTCCTTCGATTCGGCCTCAAGTTACACTCGACCTACACACGGGAGGACCAGAAAATTATCTTACGATTCCGCCTGTATTCTGAGCCGCCCGGTACCTGAAAGTACCAGGAGAATATCTTTTGATTCCACCTGCAGTTTTATCCGTCCCGGTCAGGATAGGACGAGGAAGTTGTCGTTTGATTCTGTCTGCAGTTTTTCTTCGTACCAGGATGGTGAAATCTATTCTACAAAAGGTATGGCCAGTCTGGTCTTTTATTGTGGGGCCAATTTAGTCTTTTAATGTATGGCCAATCTGGTCTTTTATTGTATGGCCAATCTGGTCTTTTAATGTATGGCCAATCTGGTCTTTTATTGTATGGCCAATTTGGTCTTTTAATGTGTGGCCAATTTGGTCTTTTAAGGTATGGCCAATTTGGTCTTTTATTTTATGGCCAATCTGGTCTTTTAATATATGGCCAATTTGGTCTTTTAATGTGTGGCCAATCTGGTCTTTTAATGTATGGCCAATTTGGTCTTTTAATGTGTGGCCAATCTGGTCTTTTAATGTATGATGGCCAATCTGGTCTTTTAATATATGGCCAATTTGGTCTTTTAATGTGTGGCCAATCTGGTCTTTTAATGTATGGCCAATTTGGTCTTTTAATGTGTGGCCAATCTGGTCTTTTAATGTATGGCCAATTTGGTCTTTAAGTTATGACCTATTTAACCTTTTGAAGTATGACCTATTTGACCTCTTCATGTTTGACCATTCTGGTCTTTAAGGTTGTCAAATCTGCCGATTTAAAGTATACCCCTCCCCCCAGACTTAGTCCAATACAACTATCATTTGGTTAATGCTTTCTAAATTAAACTTTGAGAATAAAGTAGTATAAAAGTCACGTTGAAGTAAAAATTATTTCTACGATTTTGTCAAAAAAAAAAAAAAAAAAGAAAAGAAATTCACAGCGGAACTTAAAACAACAGTTTCCTGTCAAGATCTTGGTAGTGTTAATTCTACTTGTACTGTTTGTGTGTGTGTGTGTGTGTGTGTAGTCGTTTATATGTCAGTCACGATCCTATGGACGGGGTGGGGTGGGGGGTGGGGGCGGGTTAGGACTTTTGGGTCGATATGTTATGTGGGGGCCCAGCAGAGTCTCTCATGCATCACTGCGCGAGGTGGGGGGGGGGGGGGGACGCACTGCAGGTTCATCACCCCCCCCCCTTCCCCGGGACGAAACAGAAACAAATGTATATTATATAAAATAAATACTTTAACCAGTATTAGCGCCCCCCCCCCCCTCGAAGAAAAATAGCCGAAAGAGCACTGGGGACCCGACTTGTTACTATAAGCTTCGTGAGGAGGGTGTGGGTGTAAGGGGGGGGGGGGGGGTCAAACTTGTATGTGTATGTGTGTGTGGGGGGGGGGGGTTCAAAGTTGTAACCATGTGTAGTGTGTGTGTAGGGGGGGGGGTGGTGGGTTCAGGCTTTTGTGACGTGTTCGGTAAGAGGTGCTGGAGAAGAGAGGGGGGGGGTGTCCCGTTTCTTGACGTGATGCATGGACAAACTGTGAGGTAAACAAATGTGGCCTGGCCATTTTTATTTTCTAGTGATTATGGACAGAACACCCCCCCCCCCCCCTCACTTTTTGCTTAAGTTACAGTTTTTATACCACGTCAGCCGTAATACTCTGGTCCCTAACCCTAACCAGTGGCGTAGCGAGGTCGGGTGTCACCCGGTGCGGTCCGCACCCCACGTTCCCCCCTCGCTACGCCTCTGATCCTAACCAAGGATCCGTGCCACTGATATGCTTCATCTACAGCAAACATTGATGTCAAATATTTACACACAACTGTAACATAAGATCTTACGTAACTGACGTCACGCAGCTACTAGGGAGGGTAGTTGGCCTGATTTATCTTACAATGCCATTTGTGGAGGGGTGGGGGAGATGAAGAGAGAGGGGGGGGGGGGGGGTTAAGAAATTTAGAATTTTGTAATTCTTAAAAATAACAAGGATGAGACTACGATTTTCTTAGATGTATAACTTTTATTTGATGGTTGCGGTGGAGCGTTTTGTGAAGTAGAGTTCACCTATTTCTGTGACCTTGGCATATGCTGGGATAGTGTAGTTAGTACGGTACCCAGCTGCCTTTACTTTCTTTAATGTGAGCCAGGTACCCATTAGAGCTGGATGGACACAGGGAGCTCTTACGGACTCGAGCCCGGGGTTTGAACTCGAGACTTACAGGTTAGCAGTCGCATGCTCTACACCCGACCACGCCGTCATAGAGCTCATGGTTGCCAACTCCACAAGTTCAGAGTTCGTTACCCCGCATAGATAAGGCTCGTTAGCTCAAACAACTGCTGCCTTGTCGTTTGTTCTTGGATGGACAAGGCTATGGAAGCGAATCCAGAAATATAATCAGGTTAAATCGAAGTCAACGAACCATTTGGCGCATAACATGTTAACACGAAATGGACGGCGTTGTCAGCGTGGTAAAGCGCTCGACTGATAGACCGATATCTTGGGTTCGGATCTCGGTCCGTTCTTAAGGTTTCAGGAGTCCCTGAGTCCACCCAGCTCTAATGGGTACCTGACTCACGTTAGGGAAAGTAAAGGCGGCTGGGCATAGTGTTGACCACACCATACCTTTAAATACCTAGGTCCATAAACACATGAGCTCTACTTCCAGTGGCGTAGCGAGGTCGGGTGTCACCCGGTGCGGCACTTAATGGTGTCACCCCCCCCCCCCCCGGAGGCGTAGCGACCCTTCCCGGGGACAAACTTTCAAATTTTCGATTTGCACCCCCCCTCAAACTTTCGATTTGCACCCCCCCCTCAAGTTTTTCTTTATATATTTTGATATTTTTTGCCTTGGTGTCACCCCCCTAAATGGTGTCACCCGGTGCGATCCGCACACCCCCCCCCCCCTCGCTACGCCCCTGTCTACTTCATCTGAGTTTTAAGCCCAAAGAAAGAACTTAACTTATGCTGACTAGTAGTACTCAATTGTAATCCTTGAATATTACTATTTAGAATGAAGAAGAAGAAACACATAACAAATGATCAATGTCCACATTAACAACGAGGCTACATTCCTTGTTTCAGATCACGCCTTCCACAACCTGTCCAGACGAGGGTCAGGGACGTCTGAAGACGTCTTCACCTACACCAAACAACACGACGGGCCCAGCACCTTGCCAGAACATTTGAAGTAAGGCCAAAATAATTTTGATATGCCTATTGGAATTTTTTTTTCTAATTGGGTTTTTAATTTTAATAGCTGTAGTTTAACTATATTGATTGTTGGTAAAAGATAGATGAGGTAATAGATTTTTGAAAATTAAAGTGCTTATTATATTACTGACTAATTATTTATAAAAATAAGTAAAATAAAAAAAAATACATTATAATTATATAGATAGTTTTTACTTAGAAGTTACAATTTTTGTTAATTTATTTATCCAGTAGTAGCTTAAAATCTCGATATAACATCTACTTTGTCATATCTTCCCCCCCCCCCCCCCATCACAGGAATAGTCTGGTGGTAATCTTAAGTGGCATCTATGGTATCCTGCTGGTCGTGCTAGGTCTGGTGCTGCCCTTATCTGAGACCTTCATCAAATCACAGCAGCCATATTTCTTTGAGGTTAGCACCTTTTGTTTTTACAGACGTATTTGTTTGAGGTAGGTAGTTTTTGTTTTTACAGCCATATTTCTTTGAGGTAGGTAGCTTTTGTTTTTACAACCATATTTCTTTGAGGTAGGTAGCTTTTTTTTTTACAGCCATATTTCTTTGAGGTAGGTAGCTTTTGTTTTTACAACCATATTTCTTTGAGGTTAGCACCTTTTGTTTTTACAGACGTATTTGTTTGAGGTAGATAGCTTTTGTTTTTACAGCCATAGAGGTAGATAGCTTTTGTTTTTACAGCCATATTTGTTTGAGGTAGGTAGCTTTTGTTTTTACAGCCATAGAGGTAGATAGCTTTTGTTTTTACAGTCATATTTCTTTGAGGTAGGTAGCTTTTGTTTTTACAGCCATATTTCTTTGAGGTAGGTAGCTTTTGTTTTTACAGCCATATTTCTTTTAGGAAGTGAGCTTTCGTTTTTACAACCATATTTCTTTGAGGTAGGTAGCTTTTGTTTTTACAGCCATATTTCTTTGAGGTAGGTAGCTTTTGTTTTTACAGCCATATTTCTTTGAGGTAGGTAGCTTTTTTTTTTACAGCCATATTTCTTTGAGGTAGGTAGCTTTTGTTTTTACAGCCATATTTCTTTGAGGTAGGTAGCTTTTGTTTTTACAACCATATTTCTTTGAGGTAGGTAGCTTTTTTTTTTACAGCCATATTTCTTTGAGGTAGGTAGCTTTTGTTTTTACAGCCATATTTGTTTGAAGTAATCACCTTTTGTTTTTACAGCCATATTTCTTTGATGTAGGTAGCTTTTGTTTTTACAGCAATATTTCTTTGAGGTAGGTAGCTTTTGTTTTTAGTATTTTGTAACTAGATCAGATGATCTATGGAGAAGATCAAGTAGAGTTGTTCAGTTTATCAAACTGCAGCATATGAAATACTCAGATATTGCCTCCACTTTCTGATGTTCTACTTTTGACCTGTATTTACTATTTCACATTTTTGTCTCTTTGTGGTCGTTGATGTTAGGGTCATGATTTTTAAAATTCTCAATGTCATACAAACCAGACCCCCACCCCTTCCCCCTTAATATAACTTCACACTTCGATGCTCACTCCTCCCACCTCAAGATAAAATTGAAATATAAAAATTAAAGCTGTACTTTTTTCCATTCTAAAATAATGAGTTATTTCCCTTACATAAAGGGAAATAACCATTGATAAACTACAAGTAAGACATACATTGTTTTTGGCTAAAAATTTTACTATAAAAACTCTGCTGAAAAAGTCAAGTTATTATTTTTTAGTACAATTTACATAGAGTTTATAAAAAATTCACAATGACAGCTAAAATTCAGTTTGTCAAATAGTTTTAAAATGCAAAAGTGACATGAAAAGTCCCGCCCCCCCCCCCCCCCCCCCCACCCACTTCTTTCCTCTCATCCCACAATGTCACTAAATGTCATCCCACAATGTCACTAAATGTCATCCCACAATGTCACTAAATGTCACCCCCACAATGTCACTAAATGTCATCCCATCAAATCAAGTTATATCATTTATAGATGATCTCTATCTCTATTTACAGTTTCTTTTTACCACTACTTCTATTTACTTGTTTAGATGTGATAGTCTTTACCTGTATGTACACTATCAGCTCAACTACCTGTGGGGCCTACCAATTTTAAACAATTAGGTGTATTATCTTAACTGGTATTTACTCTATCAGTCTACCAGGTGTATTAGTTTTACCTGTATTTAAGATTGTAGATCTATTACATTTGATTGTATTTAAACTTTCATATGTATTACCTTTGATTGTATTTAAACTTTCATATGAATTACCTTTGATTGTATTTAAACTTTTATATGTATTACATTTGATTGTATTTAAACTTTCATATGTATTACCTTTGTGTTTAAACTTTTAGATATATTACCATTATTTGAATTTAAACTTTCAGGTGTATTACCTCTACTTGTATTTAAACTTTTAAATGTATTACCTTTGATTATACATACATTTTCAGATGTATTTCCTTTACATGTATTTAAACTTTCAGATGTATTACCTTTACATGTATTTAAACTTTCAGATGTATTTCCTTTACATGTATTTAAACTTTCAGACGTATTACCTTTACATGTATTTAAACTTTCAGATGTATTACCTCTACGTGTATTTAAACTTTCAGATGTATTACCTCTACGTGTATTTAAACTTTCAGATGTATTACCTATACCTGTATGTTGTAAGCCTCATATTCCTCATCTATGTCTACACATACCTACTGAGGAGAGAAAGACTGAGCCTGCTGTCCTTCCCAAAAACTTTTTCCAGAAAACTCCGAAGTCTAAGCAGATCCTCATCCCAGGTGGGGCTTTTGTTTCATTGTATTTTTAAATTATTGTTTTTAGTAATCTTTTTTTTTTGCTAGAATTTATATTAAAAAAAAACAATTTAAACATCTGACTTTTGAGGTAAAAAAAAAATGTCTCCGCATAGATCACGGTTTTATCACAGGTAACAATAAATTATATTTAAAACAAAATAACACAAAAAAAAAGAATAAATTAAATAATTGAGATTTAACGTAACCATTAGCCTTAGGGTCAGTTGAAGTAACATTGTTGTCACATTCAGTTCATAGCATTCAGATACACCTGGACAAAGTAGAGTCATGTTTCTATAAATAGAATCCTGTTACACTAGGTTGGGTGTCACCCGGTTCGGCTCCTCATGGTGTCACCTCCCCCCCCCCCCGAGTAGCAAAGTATATATATATAATAATTATATATATATGTATATATATGTATATATATATATATATATATATATATATATATATATATATATATATATATATATATAATATATAAATGTGTGTGTGTGTGAGTGTGTGTCGGCATACATAGGCCTACAATTTAAATATATATCACATACAAGTACAACTTAGACTTTATAGTAGCGATGTTTATCTATAGTCTGTAAATTTTGCAATTTTTTGCTTTGGTGTCACCCTTACAAATGGTGTCACCCGGTGCAGTCCGCACCCCTGCCCCACCTTCGCTACGCCACTGCACCAGGTTGTGTCTCATTTTCCCTTATGTCCTCTTCCATGTCAGCTTACAGATTTCCTCTAGAGATGCTCCGATTTGCCTCTATTTCCTTCTCAATGCCAGCTTTTTATCTCTTGCAGAGGTCATCAATGAAAGGCTCTATAGATAAAAGTGGATCCGCTCCACCCAATCCATCCATTGCCGGCTCCACCATGTCTCGCAGGAACAGCATTGGCAGCACCTTCTCCACCAGAAGTCGACGCAGGAAGATTGGGTTCAACTCTGAGACATCGAACCACACCGGAAGCTTCTACCTGAGGATAGGAATTATTGGTGAGGTCTGGGACTGTGCCAAGGTTGTGGGAGAATTTCCTTTCTCACAGTCTATTCCGCTGTATCCTAGTTCTGCTAATGACTAGATTTTTTAAGCCTGGTTCATTATAGTTCATTTGTGATGTAACCAGTTTCTTTCAGACTATTTCTTGGGGCGGGGGGAGGGTAACTAGGGGGACGACCACTTTGAAAGACTTATTTGCTATAAATATTCTATTTCATTTGGGGGAGGGGGGGTGTAGACATGCTTCTGGGAAGAATTGTCGTAGCCCTATTCCGCTACCCTTAAACATATTTGGTACTTTACGTTATTTTTCAATACCCCCCCCCCCCCCCAGTTTGTGTTTTAGTTGGTCCTATATGATGGTAACCCCATCTCTATAGAAACTAACAACAGACCCATTTCCATAGAAACTAACAACAGACACATTTCCATAGAAACTAACAACAGCCTCATTTCTATAGAAACTAACAACAGCCTCATTTCTATAGAAACTAATCATAAAAATTGAGTCCCTTTATAATAGTTAAAAGAAATACGCCACTTCTCATACACAGCAGAAAGTCACGGGGTTTCGATTGTTAGACAGTTAACATTGTGAAATGTCTTAAAAAATTGATGAATGATTTGAAGTGACAGATGGGAAAAGAACTCATTACTAACATTAACAGTTAACATGACAGGCAAAGACAACTCTAAATTTTTTCCTCAGGGTTTGGCATAGGCAGCATGATCCACAGTGGGCTGACCTTTGGTCACTACTTTGAGATCAACCACCTGGGTGACCCCTGCAGTGACATTCTCCAGGCCATCAAGCCTGTGGCGCACCTGTGCTTCACCTTTGTACAGATGTATTTTGTCTTCATGAATTCTAAGGTAACCATGACTGTCTACTTGGTAGTTTTTGCTTAACTCATGTCTTCATGAATTCTAAGGTAACCATTTGTCTAATGGCTAGTTTTTGCTTAACTCATGTCTTCATGAATTCTAAGGTAACCATGTCTGTCTACTGGCTAGTTTTTGCTTAACTCATGTCTTCATGAATTCTAAGGTAACCATGTCTGTCTACTGGCTAGTTTGTTGCTTAACTCAAAACACCAGATAAATGTTTTTAATCAATGATTGCTGAACACAGTTTTAAATAAAAATAATAAGTGTATAAAAATAATTTGAAATGTATAAAATAACAATTTAAACAGATTACAAAACCCATTTAAAACTGCTGAGATATTCGACCAAATCTGAACCCTCGGGCAGATGAGGCTCGTTAGCTGGGGACAGCAACTCTTCTAGAAGAGACAATTCCTAAATCAAACAACTGCTGACATGTAGTTTGTTCTTGGTTGGACAAAGGCTATTAAAGCTAATCCAAAAAGAAAAGCAGGCTGAAATCAGAGTCAACGGCCGAAATGGTGAATAATCGGTTGACACATACACTTGTGTTGTGGGGGGAATCCCTTCCAACACTAAATTTAAGAATGAAGAAGAAGAAGAACAAAATCTGTTTATACCTGCTAAGAAAGTCCTATATTGCCCTGTGAAAAATACCAATACATGTTTAGTAAACCCACTTTAGCCATGTTGAGAAAGCCCATTTTCAGCTTGCTGAAAAAACCTACTTTCAGTTTGTCGAGAAAGCCCACTTTCATCTTGTTGAACAAGCCCACTATCAGTTTGTTGAGAAAACCCACTTTCAACTGGTTTAGAAAGCCCACTTTCATCTTGTTGAACAAGCCCACTATCAGTTTGTTGAGAAAGCCCACTTCAACTGGTTTAGAAAGCCCACTTTCAGCTTGTTGACCAAGCCCACTTTAACCTTGTTGAACAAGCCCACTCTCATCTTGTTGACCAAGCCCACTCATGTATTCTCCTCTGCCCTAGATGTGTGTCCACAAGTACAAGACCATCGCCAGGTTTGGCATGATGCACATGTGCGGGACAAACATCTGCGTCTGGCTGCGCTCCATCGTGGTGGAGACCCTGCATGTCATCGACGTGGACAAGAGGAGCAAGCAGCAGGACCTGCCTGTCCATATGACCAGCACACACACGCCTGCGTACAGGGACGTCAACAACACCTGGCTACACCAAGGTGAAGGCCACCACACAGGTAAACACTGGAGGTGTTTTAAATTTAACTCATTCGAGGTTAATTAAACTTAGGAACATATTTCTTTACTTAGGGCACTCAGTATTCTTAATGATTAGTGAACTTTCAACTCTTTAACTCATTGATGGTTAATTAAACTTAGGAACATATTTCTTTACTTAGGGCACTCAGTATTCTTAATGATTAGTGAACTTTCAACTCTTTAACTCATTGATGGTTAATTAAACTAAGGAAATATTTCTTTACTTAGGGCACTCAGTATTATTAATGATTAGTGAACTTTCAACTCTTTAACTTATACTTATTGATGGTTTAATAAATTAAGGAAAATATTTCTTTAGTTATAACCATTTATATTAAAGTTCACCTTACAAACCTAATGATCCAATGGGCAGATGAAGTAGAGTTCATGTTTCATAACCTCACCATATGAAGGGATGTTGTAATCAGCTATATGCCCTACCACTTTTATTTTCCCTAATGTGAGTCAGGTACCCAGCAGGGCTGAGTGGACTCAGCGAGAACATGCATTCTTGAGTATAGATTGAGATCAAGACTTGAGACCTTCAGGCTAGAGTTCAAGTGCCCTACCTAATCATAGTTGTGACCATTAGGGCACTCAATATTTACATTGACTTAGGAACATTTTATAAACAGATTCAGTAACTGTACATTAAATACAGTGTTAACTTGAATGGAGTTTCTATATATAACCAACACTTAACATAGCTACAATTTCCAATGTTTCCAATGTTATTTTCTAATATTACTAAAGTCCTGGACAAGATCTTTTCAATTTTCCATTTCCCTCCCATCTTCATTATTTAAAAGGCTTTAAGTTTAAAAAAAAAGATTTTTTAATGAGACTTTAAAAATTATTCAAAATTTAATTGCCCAACATTATTTTGTTGAAATGTATTTAAAAATCTTGAAATTTTGTCTTTGAGTTTAGATAATGCCATGGGCATGTTGCCAGAATTAGACTGCCACTGGGATGCCATGATGGGCAGAGTTGTGGAGAAGTCTTCAATCTATTTATATCCCTGCACCATTGAGTACAGTCTGGTCTGTGCTTGTAAGTTTTTATACTGCTAGCTCCTAGTCAACACCTGCAATATCCAGATCACAGATCATGTGATCATCTAATTTATTTCTGGTCAAAGGTCATGTTTTTATGCAGGGCAAACACTAGAGTTGTATAGAAAAAAAATCTATGCTCATTTCAGATTTTAAAAAATTCTGCATTAAGCAAAGAATAGTAGTTTTATAAAGTAAAATTTATAATCAACAAAAAAAAAATTAAATCTTAAAATTTTCATGTTTAAAAATCTGTTTTTAAAATATATCTAAAACGGGTGGTTTAAAAAGTTAGTAATGTTGGTATTTAAAAATCTAAAGAAACAAATATAACTAAATCCCAATGCAATAAGAAAGCAGTACAGCTACAATGAAAAAAAAAAACTGTCAATTGTCGTCTAGATATTACATAATAAATAAAAAGTAGATGAAAATCAGGATTCTCTGTGAAAAAATAATACATATATTTTACATCCATTTTAAACTAGTTATATGCAGCATTATCAATGATGTTTTGTTATCCAGTACTTTTTTTCCCTTACATAAGCTGTTTCTGATATTGGAGGTTGATTATGTCTCCATCTAAAACTTATATGAATAGGATATTATAAATTGCATAAGTTTTGCTATGTTAACAAGTCTTCTAATCCACTGCTCTTCTGTATATGAAGTGACTACGTATTATTTAAACCCAGGTGTTTTGTATGTGATGTGGTCAAATGTTGGTGAAGATACAACAGCAAGACGGCTCATGAGCCTGGAGTCAGCGTCAGATGACGGCACGTCCAGGGAGAGTGTGGACGACGTGGAGGAGAGGAGCCATCGCATGAGTGTTGACTGTGCTGGCTCGAGCCGGGGCTTGTTCCTGGGTATCCTGCTCTTTGTCGTCTGTGTTGTGTGTCTGATCTGCTACTACGTGCTGAAGGGGTCTCCAGGGAATTTGATGGCTGCAGCTGTCTTAGGTATTTCATTGTTTTAATTCATTTGAAGTTTTAGGTCTGTGAGTGTTTTAATTCATATGTTTTAGGTCTAAATGTTTTAAAGCTAAATCTGGCAAGTTCATATTCCTATAGCTTAAACTCATGATTTACAAAAATATTTTTTATAAGGTTCTTTTGAACTTACAAAGAAAGTTTTTTTATATCATTTTTTTGAACATGACTAGTTCATATCAATGAAGACTTCTTGAAAAAATAAAAACTGATATAAAACCTTTGGACTAGCCACATCTCTATCACTGAAGATGTCATGTATGTAACTAGTTCATGTCACTGAAGATGTCATCTCTTTAACTAGGTCACATCACTGAAGATGTATCTCTTTAACTAGGTCACATCACTGAAGATTTATCTCTTTAACTAGGTCACATCACTGAAGATGTATCTCTTTAACTAGGTCACATCACTGAAGATTTATCTATTTAACTAGTTCACATCACTGAAGATATCATCTCTTTAACTAGGTCACATCACTGAAGATGTATCTCTTTAACTAGGTCACATCACTGAAGATATCATCTCTTTAACTAGGTCACATCACTGAAGATGTATCTCTTTAACTAGGTCACATCACTGAAGATTTACCTCTTTAACTAGGTCACATCACTGAAGATATCATCTCTTTAACTAGGTCACATCACTGAAGATGTATCTCTTTAACTAGGTCACATCACTGAAGATCTCATCTCTTTAACTAGGTCACATCACTGAAGATGTATCTCTTTAACTAGGTCACATCACTGAAGATCTCATCTCTTTAACTAGGTCACATCACTGAAGATATCATCTACCTACTGGCCATGGGGGCCACGGCCATTGCTGCCTACAAAATGAAGTCCATGCATTTCTCAATGGCCAGAGAAGTTGGCATGGAAGAAATTTTGATGCTGATTTCTTTGTCAGGTAAGATTGTAGGTGTTTGAAATTTTGTCAGGTAAGACTGCAAGTGCTATTAGTTTGAAATTTTTCAAGATTAATGTAACAATGCAGGGTTTAGATTTGACTTTGTTGTTTGATTCTACAGGCGAGGGGACATCCATTTATTATGTTCATATGAAGCCTACATTGCAATGATTGGAATTTATGTAGTGATTAAATATACAGCGACAGCTTTGGTTAAATATTGAATATACAATCCAAAATGTCCTGAAAATGTTTTAGAAAAAAAAAATCTATAATGGGTTTATTTCTTTAATTGGCCATGATTTAATTTTTTCAAATGTTAAGGAAACGTTAAATAATATTTTCTGTAGTACTATAATTAGTTGCACTTTCATTGATTGCTCATCTAGAGGTAGGCCGCTAGGCTCTTAATTAAAAAAAAATATATAATGATATCATAATTTAATTAGTTAATGAGCTGTTAACTTTAAACTCATGCCTCTTAACTTACACAACCCGTACCACCTGTTAAGATTGAGCTCACCTGTTAAGACTGAGCTCACCTGTTGTTTTGGGCAGGTCTGGGCATGTTTGGTATCTTTAGCATCGTCTCCTCCCTGTTCTACCTGGACACACTGGACGGGGGACTGACCATCATAACCAACGTGCTCATGATGGTCCAGGCAGCCTCGCAGACGACCTTCAACTTGGCAGCACTGAGGGTATCTGCCACACATCGCTCGCAGGTACCTCATTAACAACAAATTTTATTAGTTTAATCATTTATTATTTAATCTGCCAATCAACTTTTAAGGCAAAATTATAAATATTTCCACGGTATTGGGCTTGCAAGAGTAAAAAATAAATAGTTTTAGTTCTGAGAAAAATTGTTTTAAAAGTTTATTTCTACTTTTATTTTTACTTGTAGATCTATTGGCCAAAGTATGAAAATTATTTCTACTTTTATTTTCACTTATAAGATCTGTTGGTCTAAGTGTAAAAAAAAAAAAAAAATGGAAAAAAAAAGTAAAATTGAAAACAAATTAAACTAAAATTTTTTTTTTTTACTTCTTCCAGATCCGAGAAAAGCCTGGCAGGGAGTTTGTGACTTTTTTACTCATCTCAAACTTTGCTCTGTGGGCTTTCAACACTTTTGAGACCCAGCGGTCGGATCATAACCGGATTCAGGTAAAAATTTTAACTAGATACACCTACAGGATTAAGGTAAAACTTTTAACTAGATACATCTACAGGATTAAGATAAAGCTGTTACTAGATACACCTGCAAGATTCAGGTAAAACTTATCTACTACTACACTAGCTACGCAGGTGATTTAATTTTATTGTAGCAGCTACAACCTTTTCATATTCATTATTGAACTTCAAATTTCACCAGCATTTTACAATTTAGCTTCTGTTGTCAGGGAAATGTACTATTCTAGACCTACCAGGGTGTTTTGATAATTTTACAGGTCAAATTTTATGGAGCCACAGCCTGGGCAATCTTCAGTCATATCTCAGTACCCTTAGGAATTTATTTCAGGTATAGTTTTGTTTCATTAATATTTTAAACAAGTTAAACATTTTAATTCTCTTACAGCTCCTATTATTTTTAAAATGCTAACAATTCTTTTTCTAAATATTTAAAAATGTAATTATTTATAGTGTATCTGCAATATAATTACTCATGATTTATTTCTTATAATGTTTCATATTTTTAGATTTCACTCAACTGTGTCACTCTCCAATGTTTGGAAAACAGCATGGAAACTCAAACATGCTCAGTCAGGTGGACATTTACAGGGGCACTAACCCCTCACATCCATCAATTCTAACGCTCATTATCCCCCTTGTCATGTCATTCAGAACTAAACAGATAGCAAAGAAAAATAGATGTTCATGTAAGAATGTTTAGTTTGTGTTATGAATGAATTCTCAATAGTACATATAGCAGTAGACTTAAACCCACAATCATCATTACTGTGAGAAGTTGATTAGGATCAAAATATTAAAATATTAAAACTTGATGCACTTGGTGGAACTGTAGAAGGCTCACAGAGCAGTTGATGATCTAGGATGTAAATACAGAGGAATTTAAACCTCATGTATTAGATCTTAATTTGGGCTTGTATTCATGCTTTGTTGGTGTTGTATATTTTGTGTTGGTGTTGTATGTTGTGTTGGTGTTGTATATGTTATGCTGGTGTTGTATTTGTTTTGTTGGTATTGTATATGTTGTGTTGGTGTTGTATGTTGTGTTAGTGTTGTATATGTTTTGTTGGTGTTGTATATTTTGTGTTGGTGTTGTATGTTGTGTTGGTGTTGTATATGTTATGCTGGTGTTGTATATGTTTTGTTGGTGTTGTATATGTTTTGTTGGTTTTGTATGTTGTGTTGGTATAGTACATATTTTGTTGGTGTTGTATATTTTGTTGATGTTATATGTTTTGTTGGTGTTCTATGTTGTGTTGGTATTGTGCTTGTTTTGTTGGTTTTGTACATGTTTTGTTGGCGTAGTATATATTATGTTGGTGTTATATATGTTTTCCCTTTTAAAATGGCTTTTCCTGTATATAAACACATATGTACATTTATTTCATCGGCTAAATGACTGGGATATTTTATATTAAATTTTTAAAATTTCTTGTTAATAAAATAGTTGTTAAATTTAAATGTGTTAAATTAAATGTGTTCTATTTACATGATAGCATTGTGTGATCTAGTCAATGTGTTATCACCATTGGTCATCCTGCTTGAGTGGGGGCAGTGGTGAGGGTTGGGGTAGGGTAGGTGCCACCGTCCACAAACATGCAAAATTTGTGTTTGTAATTAAAAACGTATTAGAGAATTTAAGAGATATTAACTCTTGTATTCCTATAAACAATCTAAAAAAATTCGGTTTTTTTATATTAACTAATTGTGAATTATAACAGCTTGTTATAACGAAGTTTTTGAAATAAGTATTGTTACACATCAAGATACTTGTATTATCCAGGGGTGATGGTATTACATCTTAGCTAGTATGGGTGTGTGTTTTTTGGGGGAAGGGGGGGTCCTTGTTTTTATAAGGGTTACATTCTCAAAAGCCCATAGAGACGTCCAATATAAAAATATATGGGATTGTGCAAGAGGAGAACCCACCCCCCCCCCCCCTCTCCGAACTTCTTCTGTCACCCCCCCCCCCCCCCAAAGAAATAAAAATGTGTATACAAAATGTATACTTTAGCCAATGCACCCCTCCCCCTCGAAATTTAAGTCCACCCCCTTCCTCGAAAGTTTCAGATGCCCAGCCCCCCCCCCCTCCCAGTTGCTTACATACATACATGTTAAAGAAGAACAACAAACATAAAATGGACTTTTGAATAAATAGCGCAATTTAAAAAAAAATTCAGCAAGTTCGTCAGGCTGCTCTGGTCCACGTTATTGTAGGCCTCTGGTGTTGGTATTAAATGGCATTTGTTAATATGTGCACCATCTCTTATATTTAAACACACACTACATAGATCAATAGCTTACTATTTCTGTTGGTATTTGTTAATATGTGCACCATCTGTTATATTTAACACACACTACATAGTTCAATAGCTTACTAGGTCTGTTGGTCTTTGTTAATTTGTGCACAATCTGATATATTTAAACACACACTACATAGTTCAATAGCTTACTATTTCTGTTGGTATTTGTTTATATCAAATTATATGTGCACCATCTGTTATATTTAAACAAACACTTCTACATAGTTCAATAGCTTACTATTTCTGTTGGTATTTGTTAATTTGTGCATCATCTGTTATAATTCAACACACACTACATAGTTCAATAGCTTACTATTTCTGTTGGTATTTGTTAATTTGTGCATCATCTGTTATAATTCAACACACACTACATAGTTCAATAGCTTACTATTTCTGTTGGTATTTGTTAATTTGTGCATCATCTGTTATAATTCAACACACACTACATAGATCAATAGCTTACTATTTCTGTTGGTATTTGTTAATTTGTGCATCATCTGTTATAATTCAACACACACTACATAGATCAATAGCTTACTATTTCTGTTGGTATTTGTTAATTTGTGCATCATCTGTTATAATTCAACACACACTACATAGATCAATAGTTATATGCCTACTATTTCTAGATGCTCCATGCTCGTTTAAAAAGACAACTGTCTCTCATCAAATCTGTAAATTGTATAGCCAACAGTCTACAACAGTACAACCTTTGAACAATCGCTTGCCCACCGCATCCCCCCCTGAAATTGTGCGCCAACAATCACCTCAGACGTCAAGTCATATTTATTTTACGCCCCCTCCCTCCCCCCCCCCCTCCCTCCATCTCGCCAGTGGTTGAAACTAGAACTCAACAAGTTGTGCCCCACACCTGACCTTATTGATTGAGTGTGTGCTGTGTGTGTGTGTGTGTGTGTGTGTTCATGTGAAGATGGCAGGCCAAGAACGTGCGGGGGAAAATGAAAACTTGGCTTTTGTTGATTCGAACGCAGGTTTTGATGACGTCATTGTTATTAAATATTAAAATTCGTTTGTCTAGTTTTTTTTTAATTTAAAAATTTAGTAGGCCTACCTGTCGTTCATTTTTATTTGTACCAAATTGAAATGGAGCTCTCAAAATTTATCTTAAAATATCACCAGCCTACTTTAGGAATACGTAAAAAAAATACACATATAAACCAGTGGCGTAGCTAGGATTTTTGGGCCTCTATGCAAAAAGTGTTAGTAGGCCCCTCAGAGGCCTAGCGACCCACCGGGGACAAACTTTCGATTTGCACCCCTCCCTCAGACTTTCGATTTGCACCCCCCTCAAACTTTCGAAAAAGGGCCCCTATTTGCCTTGGGCCCCTATGCCTTGCTTACGCTAGCTTTACGGTAGCTACGCCACTGATAAAAACAAAACAAACACCGCAGTCTAAATCTAAAAGGTATAAATGATTTCTAGATTAAATATGCCTTAATTACTTAGTAAATTAAAACAGGTTTAAATCTAATTTGTAACGTAAACACTGTCTATCTTTGGCAAACTTGGGCTGGGAAGGAAATTTCGAAAAGGTAAATGTACGGTTACACGCCAAATGAGGTCTACTCAGGTAGGATACATAGACGGTCACAGACAGGTAATCAACACACATGGCCACACAGGTAAGACTCCGGTAAACAGACGGGTACGTAGACGGCCAAACTGGACGGCCAGGGGAGTTATTGTGTGGCGACCAATCAGGCAGGATGAGCTATTGATCGAGTGGATCAACCGGATCAGCACACTGACGACAAAGTTGGGGCTAAAAATAGCCACGGTTACCTGGCTCACGGGATCGATGTGAGACAACGTCAGGTGTGGATATGATTGAATATTGGCGATATGTGATCGATCGGTACACCCCAGTGGCAGACCCAAGTTGTACGTTGTTGTGTTAGACGCAGGTCTGTAGGATGTAAGCGAAGGTTACACAGGTAAATACAGGTAGGACTTTTGTTGTTGCTTCTGTTTTAGGTCTTTGCCGCTGTGTTAGGCGGCCTTACACATCAGTCTCTCCATACACAGCTCGGTATATATATATATATATATATATATATATATATATATATAGGGCCTACATAAATATAGTCTATATATGTGATGATATAATGTTTTCCCGTTCGTGCCCAAGACACATGGTGCAGATGAAGTAGAGTTCATCTGTTTCAATAACCTCGGCATATTAGGGGATAGCGTGATCATCACTATGCCAGTCCACCTTAATTTCTCGAACACGAGTCAGGTACTCAAGGTTATTATTTTTCTTAATTTGCTCAAAACGATTCCCCCCCCCCCCCCTTTAATAATAGTAAACGTTTCAACATTTAGAGTAATTTAGAGTATAGGTAATTTTAAAAAGTCGAATAAATTTATAATATCGTTAAAACCGATCATGAAATATCGCAAAATATAAACCCATTCATAACACCTGAGCTATGAATTGAACAAAACATTTATTTTTCACTGACAGTGTTTGTGGTTATGTACATATCATATAACACACAATTGGACATTTTGACCACCATATAATGTTATATAATGTGGCCACAGGTCACTACCTTACCTTATAACATTTCTGCACAATTCCTTCTTCCCCATCCAATATACACGTTGTAGTTGTATTAAAAGGTTTGTGATTTTTAAATTGATAAATTATGGGTGACGACAGTTTAGAGGAAATATATATGTGTGTGTGTATGGGGGGGGGGGGGGGTTCCATTTGCTTTTATAAGGGTTCCATTCTCAAAGACCCAAGAGGAAATATTTGTGAAGCCGTATTTTTAAAAAAGAAAATATGTTTTGTCAGTATATTCGCACAACCCTTGTTGTAAAAAGCATTTAAATGGAAACATAACACACACAACAAGAATAAAGAAATGACAGAATACCGTGATGGTTAACATTGATCGATTCAACCCCACACATATGTAGCCAGACCCTACTTACTTTGTATTATATTTTATGTGCACTAGCAATTCATTCGTAGAGAGGCTATTTTTTAAATTTAGTTTTGTTTGTGGTAATGCTGGTAGGCAAGGGCTACAAAGCCTTAGCAAGGGCTATCTCGGGTTAAGGTTAGTGGTTTGGGGGTTAGGCATAGTGGATTAGGGTTAGTGGTTTGGGGCTAGGATTAGTGGATTGGGGCTAGGATTAGTGGATTGGGGCTAGGATTAGTGAATTAGGGCTATGTTTAGTGGAGTGGGCTGGGGTTAGGCATAGTGGATTAGGGTTAGAACTTATTGAGGGTTAGGTATAGTGGATTGTGGTGGCTATGTTAAGTGGATTGGGGCAGTGATTAGTGGACTGGGGTAAGGATTACGAATTTTCAGCGCTTTCTTCAAGCAGGACTTACTCTTTTTTTCCTTCAAATGTCAAATCCCCTCCCTCTCGTGCTACGTGCTATTCAATATATAGCAAGGTTGGTGTAAGTAAAACATGTTCACTACACCCCCCTTCCCCCCACCCAACTGTGGTGTACAGTGGACCCACAAGCTCATATGTTCACCTTCCTTCTCTATCGTATCCAATAGCATCTCAAGTCTATGGGGGTGTGGGAGGGGCGGGGTTGGACAGGAGAGCTGAAAATCTGGATTTGGTTTTATGAGTCAGTAGACCGTCACTGAGCACACTCAGCTGTAATGGGTACCTGGCACTAGTCGGAGGGGGGGGGGAGTAAAGTGGACTGGTCATAGTGGTGATAGCACTATCCATTTTGTATACAGAGGCTAGAGAAACAGGTGAACTCTACTTCATCTGGTCATGAACCGTCGGGTCTGACAGTTAGGATCTACCTATCAGACGTTCGCGTATCTACATAGTTTGGGTGCATGACGTCATAAGTCTGGTTAAACAGTCTACGTCATTTGTTGTCATAGTTTCAAACTGACGTCATCTGCCCTGTGGTCCAAACGCAGCAACTTCATCCCAACTTAAAAGTAACAAAACCGTTGTTGTCGTCACATCAACATGCCCGCACAGATGTGTAAGAATAGTTTTCTATCGATCTCTGTTCTAGAACAACCACGGCCATCACGTGACCATGCCAACCCGCGTAACAAACTGTCGCAAACAAAACAAGGATCGAATTCCGTATTGTTAAAATCGATGCATTTTGCATAAATATTGATCCGTCTGATCGTGTATCGATTTTTTAAGATCTTTCAAGTTCTCTGTTATTCGTTTGTTAAGGAAAAAAAAAAACAACTTGTTTTTAGTTTTAAAAAATGTGTTGCTTTTCTATGAGTGTCGTCTGCCTAATAATTAATAGCACGTGATTTCCATCGTTTCACCAATACATTGTAAGGCCTTGCTTCTAGAATGGAAAAAAAATTAAATTAAATGAGTTCACATTTTGTTTCGCAAAGTTATTCACTTTTTAACGAACCCGAAGAAAGCCTCCGCTAACAGCATTCACAACACACACTTGCGTCATTCTCCAAAGTTCAACTTTTGTTGTCACCCAACAATGCAAAATGGCGTCTGTCCGTTGGCCTCGCTTCTGCGTGACCTACGTAAAGGACACCGCCGAGGCCTTCACACTCTTTCGTTTCTCTTCTTTTTCCCAATTTCTTGACTTGGGCCTTGTATTCTAAAAATGTGCGGAATCATACAAAAAATGGGCTGTGTCGTTTAAACGAAACGAAACAGCCAGGTGCATGCTCATAGTAATTATGGTGTGCACGCTGGATATACCTCTATACCGTTCTTGTGAAATATATATATATATATATATATATATATATATATATATATATATATATATATATATATATATATATATATATATATATATATATGAAATTACAAATTTTCTGTGTGAGGTGATTTCAAAAATAAATGTGTGAATAGTGTTAAAATCCAATTATCTGTTTCTTGTAGGACTAGTTGCCATGCCAACGAAAATCGTGTACAAGCTTTACAATTTACTTGGAGTAGCCGCAACCTTGACTGCTGGTAAGTAGAGGGTGACAGCACAGTTCGGTTAGCCGTACCCAGTGGCGTCACTAGGCCGGGTGCGACTGGTAACTTATCATGTCACCCCCCCCCCCCCCCTTCTACCACACTTCAAGAAATTTAAAAAAAATGTACTAAAGCTTCCTAATTTGAGGTCGTCCCATCCCAGATAAAATATTTTTTTTTGGCCTCTCCATTAAGATAGTATACTTTTTATGTCGCCTCATCCCTGAGAGTTTACTTTTTATGTCGCCTTATCCCAGATAGTATACTTTTTTTTTGATGCCGTCATAGATAGTATAATTTTTTATACACTGGTAACTCAATGGACAAGGCAGAATTTCTCATTCAAATGTGTAATCTTTCGATTTGGTATCCCTCATCTTGGAATAATGTCACCACGTCCTCCTCTGATATCTGGTTGGGGGGGGGGGGGGTGGGCGGTATTATGCTCCCCCTTACGCGAACGAAATAGAAAAAAACTATATAATTTATCTAAAATATATATCATCTAACCAGCCCCCCCTCCCCAGCCCCGGAGAACATTTTTTTGTAAGAACCCCCTCCCCCCCCCTCGTGTGCCAGTACATTAGATAAGGTCAAGTCGGGCAAAGGTTAGGAATGGGGTGTCACCAACAATGTCACTAAGTTGTTTATATGTGGTGTAATGGTGTTCCGGCTCACAGAAAAACTTTCCCTCCATTTTCACCGTGTTTGTTTGTTTGTTTGTGGCAATTTTAAGAAAACAATTTTAACAAGGGGCGCAACTCTCTTATAACCCCGCCCCCCATCTCCGTACTCTATGATTACATGTCTGTTGTTTGAAAGAGGCGTAACTCTGTACCTTATCATTACAATAGCCACGAAAGGGAGGCAATGCTGTGTAGTTGTTTTTTTAAATGCATCAACACATCAATTTACAGTGACTTGTTGGGCGTGTGGTACCATTGAAGAGACAGCGTACGTCGGTACAGTAGAGATACATTATCCGGACACTGGACAGAAGTTAGATGGGTAACTTCAACTTTTTTTTTAATTCTTCAAAACACATGTTCCCAACACATGTGTCGCGACCCCTAAATTGTGACGGGATTTCTATGGGGTCGCCAAATTGTACAGCAACCCCGACCCCACTATTTGAAATTTGGAAAGGTTGGGGACACTTTATATCAGTCACTGTACCTTAGAGTTTTTATTTTTGTGTTACTCGTTAGATATAGAAAAATACTAAATCATTCAGTAAAGCCGAGTAAGTAGCTGTCTATTTTGTTCACTTGGACAGTGTATAATTCAATAATGCAGCTCAGAATTAGCTTTTTAGTTTTTCTTCTACCCCGTTTTGGCGACCTCCGTAGGATCCCCCCCCCCTGCCCTACCCAAAATACGATTCTGGGAAGCGTTAAAAAAAGAGTACTCAAATCGACATCTTTAGCGATGTTCTATTTATAGAGTGAACTCTAGTGACCCTAAACTATGGCGTTTTTCTCCAACCCTGAACCATCCCTCCCTGAACCAACCCTGAACCAACCCTCAACCCACCCTGAACCAACCCTGAACCCACTCTGAACCAACCCACCCCGAACCAACCCTGAACCCATCCTGAACCAACCCACACTGAACCAACCCTCAACCCACCCTGAACCAACCCTGAACCAAACCTGAACCAACCCTGAACCAAACCTGAACCAAACCTGAGTCAACCCTGAACCAACCCTGAGCCAACCCTGAACCAAACCTGAACCAACTCTAAACCAACCCTGAACCAACCCTGAACCAACCCTGAACCAACCAACCCTGAAGCAACCCTGATATTCATTAACCACAACAGAAACACAATGGCTACATTGTCTAGCCGTCTACCACATTGTGTCTAAACCAAGTCTTTTAATCATCATCTTCATTAGTAAAACACAACGCCATATCTGTAGCACCTAGCTGTGCATAAAAAAATCATATAACACCAATCTCTGCAAGCTTTATTTCAAGTCTAATTCTTAGATTTATAAACTTGATCAGAAATTCCCCAGTCTTAGTACTATAGACGGACCCTTCAAATTATCAGGGGTGAAACTTTATTTAAACCAAGTCTAAATTTTCTTTATAAATTGACCAGAAGAGCCCAATCCTAGTACTAGATGGACCATTCTAATCGTCACTACATGAATTATGTTTTAATGGTGACATTTCTGTTTATGATCGTGACCAGACTCTTACAGTCCCAGTAGTCTAGATCAGGGGTCGGCAACCTTTTGAGACGGAAGAGCCAAAAGTTACTATTTACAAAATTTCCCAGTTTATAAAGAGCCACATTATTATTTCAGTATTATCTTACTATTACGGTATTTGATTAGGATTAGGTAAATAAATTTGATTTGTTATTTAAAATCATGGAATCTTTTCCACCGTGCTGTCCTCTGCACGGCTGTGGGGCTGGGGCTGGTGCCCAAGCGGTTGTCAGCTGTCCGTATACTTTCTACCTCACCTACTCTCATTGTTCTCTGATGTTTTTTTATCCTGTTTAAAGTTGTTGTTTTTTAAAGTAGAATATTTCTTATAAGTTTCTGAAATGAATAAATATTAATATTTGTGCAAGGAGTTGGAGAGAGACATTTTGACATCAAAAGAGCCGCATGCGGCTCGCGAGCCGCAGGTTGCCGACCCCTGGTCTAGATGGACCCTTCTAATTGTAGCCGTAAAAATTGTTTTAACAAAGTCTGACCTTTCTGTTTGTGACCTCTGACCAGACGCGGCCAGTCCCAACAATGTATCTGGACAATCTCAGCCTACAAGAAAGACCTGGTTGTGTATCTGGAGTTTATCGACGTGAATTTGTCCGCAAATCTACTCAACGACACGTGTCTGAACAACATCAAAGTTTATGATGGTGAGTGATGTGTGGTGTTATGAGTGGCATGTAGTTTAGTGAGTGATGTGTGATTTGGTGTATGATGTGTGATTCTTTGAGTGTCGTGTTGTTTGCTGAGTGATGTGTGGTGTTACGGCTGGCATGTAGTTTAGTGAGTGATGTGTGATTTGCTGAGTGATGTGTAATTTAGTGAGTGATGTGTAGTTTAGTGAGTGATGTCTGATTTAGTGAGTGATATGTGATTTGCTGAGTGATGTGTGATTTAGTGAGTGATGTGTAATTTAGTGAGTGATGTGTAATTTGGTGAGTGATGTGTAATTTAGTGAGTGAATGTGTGATTTAGTGAGTGATGTGTGATTTAGTGAGTGATGTGTGATTTGCTGAGTGATGTGTAATTTAGTGAGTGAATGTGTGATTTAGTGAGCGATGTGTGATTTAGTGAGTAATGTGTGATTTGCTGAGTGATGTGTGATTTAGTGAGTGATGTGTGATTTGCTGAATGATGTGTAATTTAGTGAGTGAATGTGTGATTTAGTGAGTGATGTGTGATTTAGTGAGTAATGTGTGATTTGCTGAGTGATGTGTGATTTAGTGAGTGATGTGTGATTTAGTGAGTGATGTGTGATTCAGTGAGTGATGTGTGATTTAGTGAGTGATATGATTTAGTGAGTGATGTGTGATTTAGTGAGTGATGTGTGATTTAGTGAGTAATGTGTGATTTAGTGAGTGATGTGTGATTTCGTGAGTGAAGAAAGAAACATTTTTATCTTTCCACCATGGCCCCACAACTATCACCATCATTTCTCTGGAACCAACATTTGTATTCCAGGCTCCGAGATTTCGGACAACCGACTCGCCATCATCTGCGGCAACGACGAGCCGACCCTCGTGACGTCATCCAGGTACTCCATGGTCGTCTTCACCTCCAACGCTTCCAGCGGATATGACGGCAGCTTCCGGCTCAGGTACAAGGCCGTCAAGGAGAGACTCAGCCAGACAGGTGAGTGTCCAGGTGTCCGTCTAGCTAGGCAGGTCAATAAACTTCAATGTGCTTCAAATACCTGGATTTTATACCAGAGGTTTAGTCAGGGTGGTAGGGGGACTTATCCGCTACATGGACGTGCATTTTAAAAAAAAAAAAGAACTATATATATATATATATATATATATATATATATATATATATATATATATATATATATATATATATATATATATATATATATTTATTTAATATATAAATAGACCTATAATTATATATTCATGAGTAGCCTACCTAAACATACATAAAATATAAATTAACATATAAACAACATATACACATTTGGACGTACATACATACATTTTTATAAATATTTATACATACATATACGTTTTTCCCACGTTTTCTTTAACTTGCTTTCGTCTCTGTCTTTCCAATCAAATCTTGCGATCGAAATTTCTGGCACTTCTCAGTTAGCTAGCGCGCTGAAATTTTCAGGGAAGCTTTGTTTTGGATGACAATAGAATATTCAATTGTTATTATTACTAAATTGATCCATGGAAACATTTTATTGAGCATTTTAGACCGCTATATAATCTATATATATAATTCTCCTCTGCGAGCCGTTAGAAAACAAGCTGCAAGCGCCTCCTAACAGTCCCCTCTCTTTCTCTCTATCACTATCACTACCACTGTAGGGTCGGGGTTAGGGGAAAGGAGGGGGGTTAGTGTTTTAAAGCAAATATTTTCAGTGGCAGCATTGGTACTATCTAATTCACAAATTATGAATTACTGAAAGTAGAAAATAAATCAACTAAATAGCGGCGTATGATACGCCGCGGGTCGGCTCGTTGTAGTAAAAACGTGGGGAAAAAGGGACATAACCCAGTAGCTGTAATTTGTGTACAAACAACCGTAACAACTGGTGGCCAGTATGGGGGAGACGATATGGTCGAGTGGTTGGGCACACGATTGCTATCCCACTCGACACGGGTTCAAATCTATGTGTTCTAGTCAGTAACGTATTCACACAACGTGTTTTTTTACGAGTTGTCTTTTTACGAGTTGTCTTCGTTTACCCAAAAAAAAAAAGTGAAAAGATAAAATCGATAGCAAGATTTTAATGCAAACAAACAGACAAAGACTAAAAAGTAGAAAATAATAATCATTAAAAAAGTTAAAAAAAACCCCACGTTTTCTGATTGAACTAAAAAGTAGAAAATAAATACTATACATCACAATAATGCAAGCGATCACTCTACTATAAGCGATGAAAAACGTGGGGCGCCGTGATTTTCTTACAGTTTCTAATACTGTTGACTCTCTACAAGCTCCCTAATAAAAGTCAATAGTATTATCTAATCAATAGTAATATAACTTTTACTTCGGCGCCCCACGTTTTTCATCGCTTATAGTAGAGTGATCGCTTGCATTATTGTGATGTATAGCATTTATTTTCTACTTTTTAGTTCAATCAGAAAACGTGGGTTTTTAAAAACTTTTTTAATGATTATTATTTTAAACATATACGCATAGTATTTAAATACGAATATATACACGTGTATGTGTGTATATGAATACATAAATACACTTAAATCTTCATGCTTTGTAAGTATGTGTACATGTAAATGTATGTGGTTGTGACTAGATGTGGTTTATGTTTAGTTGTGTGTGTATTTTTACGAGTGTGTGTTGTATGCAGTGTTTCTTTCAGACTTTTTTCTCTGGGGGAAGGGGGCACTTGAAATTTTCGGGGGGGAGGGGCGGACTAAAATTCTCGGGGGGAGGGGCGGCCACTTTTAAAAGTATATACTTTCTATATAAATTCCATTTCCTCTCGGGGGGGGGGGGGGGGGGGGCGGTAGACTTTCTTGTGGGGGGGGGGGGGGGGGGAAGAGGCAGAGCCCCCGAAGAGATGGCTGGAAGAAACTGGTTGTATGTAAGTGGTTGTATAGGTGTAACCGTATGCCTAAATGTAAGGTCTGATAATGAGTGCGTCCTATAAGTCGAAAGTTAAACTATTTCACTAGATGACCCAAGACTTACACAGTCTACCATCAAACATCAGCATCATCTAATACCAGACACATCTCTCCTGTATGTTCTCACTCTCTCAATGCCAGACACATCTCTCCTGTATGTTCTCACTCTCTCAATGTCAGACACATCTCTCCTGTATGTTCTCACTCTCTCCTGTATGTTCTTACTCTCTCAATGCCAGACACATCTCTCCTGTATGTTCTCACTCTCTCAATGTCAGACACATCTCTCCTGTATGTTCTCACTCTCTCCTGTATGTTCTTACTCTCTCAATGTCAGACACATCTCTCCTGTATGTTCTCACTCTCTCCTGTATGTTCTTACTCTCTCAATGTCAGACACATCTCTCCTGTATGTTCTTACTCTCTCCTGTATGTTCTCACTCTCTCAATGTCAGACAAATCTCTCCTGTATGTTCTTACTCTCTCAATGTCAGACACATCTCTCCTGTATGTTCTCACTCTCTCCTGTATGTTCTCACTCTCTCAATGTCAGACACATCTCTCCTGTATGTTCTCACTCTCTCCTGTATGTTCTCACTCTCTCCTGTATGTTCTCACTCTCTCAATGTCAGACACATCTCTCCTGTATGTTCTTACTCTCTCAATGTCAGACAAATCTCTCCTGTATGTTCTCACTCTCTCCTGTATGTTCTTACTCTCTCCTGTATGTTCTCACTCTCTCAATGTCAGACACATCTCTCCTGTATGTTCTTACTCTCTCAATGTCAGACAAATCTCTCCTGTATGTTCTCACTCTCTCCTGTATGTTCTTACTCTCTCAATGCCAGACACATCTCTCCTGTATGTTCTTACTCTCTCAATGTCAGACAAATCTCTCCTGTATGTTCTCACTCTCTCCTGTATGTTCTCACTCTCTCCTGTATGTTCTCACTCTCTCAATGTCAGACACATATCTCCTGTATGTTCTTACTCTCTCCTGTATGTTCTCACTCTCTCAATGTCAGACACATCTCTCCTGTATGTTCTCACTCTCTCCTGTATGTTCTCACTCTCTCAATGTCAGACACATCTCTCCTGTATGTTCTTACTCTCTCCTGTATGTTCTCACTCTCTCCTGTATGTTCTCACTCTCTCAATGTCAGACACATCTCTCCTGTATGTTCTCACTCTCTCCTGTATGTTCTCACTCTCTCAATGTCAGACACATCTCAGTAGTATATTAGGTCGCTTTTGGTTAGTATTTTTGGCGGAGGAGCGGATGTGGAGGAGCAATGACATATAGTAAAATACTCGGGAGCAGGATGCGCGGGATGCGCAATGACATATAGCAAAATACTCCCAGCCTGGCGCATCGGGATGTGGAGGGTGGGTGAGCAGGATGCGCAAAGACATATAGTAAAATACTACGCCAACTGGGGTTGGCGGAGGTGGTGGGGAAGTAGGTCACCTTTTGGTGACCTTGTGACGTAATCATTGACCTTGTGACGTAATTAGTGACCTTGTGACATCATCATTGACCTAGTTACGTAATTTTAATGCGTTTTTAATGAGTTTTAATGAGTTTTTAAAATTTTAATTAATTTTTGACCTAGTTACGTAATTTTAATGTGTTTCTATTACGTAATTGTTTAATTTGTTTGATTTAAATTGTTTAATTACTTTGTTTATATTGTGTAATTTTTATTAACGAGTTACGTAATTTGATTATTTGTTTACTTTTTAATTATTTTTTATTTTGTTTATTTTTAATTTTATTTTATTTTATAATTAGTTAAATTATTATTAACTAGTTACGTAATTTGATTTTAATTACTTTTGTTTATTTATTTATTTGATATATTTCTTTTCTTTGTTGTTTAATTTGTTGGTTTGTTTATTTGGTTGTATGTATGTTTTAAATAAAAGACTAACACTAGCATGTACTAGAACAGTCTTTGTATAGGGACCATTCAGCAACACAACGAACGGTTACCGAAAATAGAACATCCATTTAACCACATCTGTTACATATCGATCCGCAATCCTTTGTTTTTGTCAAACACTGGACAACGGGCGCGTTAATATTGATTCCACCCACGGGCCATCACAGCATGATGTCCCACCTAATTAAATTTTGTTATGCTTCACCGAGTTTCCCCGCTCGATTTGACGGGTCATGATGATTTATGTGGGTTCGCGAAGCGATCCCACCGGGGGGTATGGTAATTAACGACGTACATTAAGTGGCTTTCCGCGAAGCACTTAGGTCATTATGCAACAGCTGTTGTGCGACAGCTGGTGGTGTAATTACGCTGAGCAATCGTATAAATGACCGCGAAAATTGTGTTCTAAACACTTCGACTTCGGACTTCAAATCAAGCTTCACCGCGACTTATCCAGCCTGCGACCTCTGTTGACTCCTGAGACTAAACCCACGCCAGCTTTACCAACCATCACATCTACCTAACCCTACACGGACCGCAGCCTGTGTGCCTGTTTACAGAACCTGCGCAATTAACATTAAAGGTAAGGTTAATATTACTTTTGTTTTATGGGTGCTAACCCTATTAAAATACCTTTTAATTAATTAATTTAATTTTGTATCGTACACCGAGGTAAGGTTAATAGTATGAATTATCCTTTACATATCCTTTAAATAAATATGTATCTAAATAAGCAGGCAACTGTATTCCTTTTTAGTGTACAACCGACTCATCGACACAACCAGTGACCCTATTGAGCTACCTACCCAGCCCCGAGGCATCCACTGAACCAAAGATCCAACTACATCCAACTACACCACTTCGGATCTCCACATACAGTTAACTTCACGTTCAGCTTAGAAGTTCAAACCACCCCATAGGTACGTTTCATTTTCAATTTTGTTTTAAGTATGTTTTTTATTTCATGTATTTTATTTTATGTAATTCTTTTTATTCTACAGCCAGCGACCTACCCAAGCAGCCAACTGATCCACACACACTAGACACTTCATCAATAATGGAAGCCGATCAGCCTACCAGCCATCCAGCCATGACTCGTTACTCAAGTGAGATCTGCAACCGAGTGTTCACTCGCAAAGACGCTTTGACAAGACATCACGACTCTGCACACGGTCGTCAGAGACATCCCTGCACAACATGCGGGAAAGTATTTACACTACTAAGTAATTTAACAAGACACTTTAAGAAAGCACACAGCAACCAAACATTACCGACCGACACCCCATCAGCAACCAACAGACAAACACACCAACCCACATTAGTGACCGACACACATACTGTCCAACTCCCAACAGCGAGTCAAACAGACCACACTGCGACCAACACTAACTCCTTAAAACGACACACGACGTATGACGACATATCAAACAACAAACGCGTAAAGACTAACAATGACAGTAACATTAATTCACACACCCCTATTTTTCCTGTAGACGACCTTAGGGGAGATGCAGTAGACTTACACCCGACCACAGACAAAGCTTCACCCACATGCCTTCTCACAGACATCCCTGACTTTATTAAACATAATCACGCCATTAACATGTTACAACAGGATTCAAATTCAAAACCCTACACAGACAACTTCTCCTTTTTTAGATGTTTAGCCAGACATTTAGGAGCACCCTTAACAGATCTTAGAAAGCGAACATTAAAACTCGCGAAACAGTGGCAAGCGCACCAAGGTCTCGGGACCTTGGATAATTTTAGCGGGGTTAGGTTGGTCGAAATTCCCCTCTTAGAGTCCTGTTTTAGTGTAAATATTGAGATTTTTGAATTTGACGAAAACCAGATCCTTTTTCCGAAACTTAGAAGTAGTGATAGGTTTAGGGAGACTGTGTATCTTTTATTTTTTCAAAATCAGTTTATGTACATTAATAATATTGGTGGGGCGGGTCACTCTTTCGCGTGTTCTGTGTGTAACAAATTATGGCCCACCGTTCAACAAATGAACAGACACGTGAAAGGGTGTAATGGGGGGAAACCAGTAGATAGGTATAAGGGAGGGCTTTATCAGACACAGCAAACAATCTGGGAGTTTTTAGCGTCCTATGGGTTAGTTGTAGATAGTAACTTTGTTTATCCCTTCCGAGCAACTTACGATTTCGAATGCTATTTCGACCATTCCGAGTTACCCACGTTAGGTAGAGTTACAAAAAGCGTTGCCAAACACGTGCCTTTGTCTTGCTCTGTCGCCTCAAACGTAGATGGGTTCGTCGAACCCATCTGTTTTATTTCGACTGGTGACCCTAAAGAATTAGTGACTAGAGTTATTGACAGACTCCACATAATCGCCGAGGCAGCTTATGGCATTTTGAAAAAAACAGTTCGAGCCTGTTTTTAAGCAAATCAGGAAGTTATTTCCACCTAAAGCTAGGGGTAGTGATAATAAGTCGAACGACAAAGGGTTTGATAGGTTTCTTAGCGGTAGATTAGATGAGTATTTGCGACAAATGCCGGTTATAGGGTTTAATTCAGGAAAATATGATATAAATCTCGTTAAGCCGTATTTTATTCAGTACTTTTTAGCTTATTCAAACACAGAAGAGGGGTTAGAGGAGGGACCTAGAGCTAGTTGTAACGATGACGAAGACGACGTAGAGGATAAACAAACACCGTTTAAATATGTAGTTAAAAGAAATAATAATTTTATGTGTATATCAACAAATAAATTAAAGTTCTTAGATATAGTTAATTATCTAGCACCTGGGTTTAGCTATAGTAAATATCTAGCCGCGTATAATGTTAAAGAGACCAAGGGATTTTTTCCGTATGAATATGTAAAAAATTTAGCCGTCTTAGAAGAAACGTCTTTACCTTCGCATTCGGCCTTTTTTTCATCATTAAAAAATTGTAACATTTCAGACGAGGAGTACGCGACGTGTAGGCAAATTTGGGTAGAGAAGGGGATGCAAACTTTTAAAGATTATCTTATTTGGTATAACAATATCGATGTAAAACCGTTTATCGAAGCGCTCGAGCAGCAAACTAATTTTTACAAAAATTTAGGGGTTGATATTTTTAAAGATGCGATTTCTGTCCCGGGGGTAACCTTAAAATACTTATTCAAAACACTTCCCGAAAACGTTTCTTTTTCTTTGTGTTCCGAGCGCGAATCAGAGTTACATAAAACAATCCGAAATAATATCGTAGGGGGCCCCTCCATTATTTTTCATAGACATCACGAAAAGGGTGAAACGTTCATTAGGGGGAATAGTAATAAGGTGGTACAGGCAATTAAGGGGTACGACGCAAACGCGCTTTATTTATGGTCTTTTATGCAAAAAATGCCGACGGGATTTCCGATTATTAGAAATAGTGAGGAGGGGTTTAGACCGCGTAAAACGAATCATTACGGGGAACAGGCTTTTCAGTGGTTATCGTGGGTTTCAAAAACAAAGGGGGTAACTTTAAAAACCGCGTTTAACGGGGGCGAAGTTAGCTTAGGATCTCGCCATATAAGAGTAGACGGGTGGGACGCGAACACTCGAACCGTTTATCAGTTCCATGGCTGCCTCTTTCATGGACACCCTGACTGCCCTTTAACTAAAGACAGAACAGTAAACCCCATTAGTAACAGACCCTTGACTGAGTTATTTAAAAAGACAAACGAAATTACGAAGTACCTTACCGAGACTGTTGACGTTAAAGTCGTAGAAATGTGGGAATGTGAGTGGGGGAACCAGAAAAAAATGAACCCAACTATTAAAGACTATTTAAACTCTATTGACAAATCACAAAAGACACCGACACCGACCTATGGTAAGAAATGGCCCCTGACTGAAAAACAGATCATCGATTCTGTTTTAGACGACTCGTGTTTTGGACTGATAGAATGCGACATTAAAGTACCGGATAGTTTAAGAGAACATTTTAGTGAGATGACACCTATTTTTAAAAATACGGACGTTACGCGCGATGACATCGGACCGTTTATGAGACAATACGCGATCGATAACAACTTATTAACTAGCGGTAGACGGACTTTAATCGGTAGCTTTACAGGGGAGAAAATTTTATTAGCGACCCCCCTTTTAAAGTGGTATTTAAATCATGGGTTGGTAGTCAGTAAAATTTATCAAGTCGTTGAATATAATCCAATTGCATGTTTTAAGACATTTGGGGATACAGTTTCAGACGCGCGAAGAAAGGGGGACATAGACGACAAATACGCGATAACTAGTGAAACAATGAAATTGTTAGGAAACGCGGCATACGGTAAAACTTTGACGGATAAAACACGACATGCGGACATGACCTACTGTAGTGATAGGGATATAGGGGATTGTATTAATAATCCACGATTTAAAAAAATGACAAAACTTACCGACGCTGTTTACGAAGTAGAAACGTTAAAAAAGAAGATAGTTTGGGATCTCCCTCTTCAGATAGGCTTTTTCGTTTATCAGTACGCAAAACTTAGAATGTTAGAATTTTATTATGACTTTATAGACAAATATATAGATAGAACCGACTTTCAGCTATGTGAGATGGACACGGACAGTTTATACGTAGCCTTAAGTACCGATGACTTGTTAAAAACCGTTAGACCGGGACTAGAACACGAGTTTTTTGACATTTACGATAAATGGTTCCCCTCAGAAGTATGTGACTCACACAGACCACAATTTATAAGCGGCAAAGGCACGGTAGATAGTCATTGTCTGGGGTGTAGGGCTAGGAAAATTTATGAAAAAAGAACACCGGGGTTGTTTAAATTAGAATATGAAGGGGATGGGATGGTATCTTTATGTAGTAAGACGTACCACTGTTTTGGCGAGTATAATAAAACATCAACCAAAGGATTATCTAAAAATCACAACACATTAGGCAAAGAATCTTTCATGCAGGTCCTCACAACAAAGGAACCAAGTGGTGGGACAAACACAGGGTTCAGAGCATACAACACGGGGATATATACTTACACCCAACACAGAAACTCACTTTCATACTTTTACATTAAAAGACGAGTAGACGCAGACAATGTGACAACATCTCCCCTAGACATATAAGAACCTTTAGTTTACCAACCATGACTTTAACGAGACTTTAATGTAAATATGTAAATAAGACAGAACCATGACGGTATGCTGATGGGGTTGTTTTTATTCAATAAAAACTTATGATATAAACGGTCTTTTTTAAATTTTTGATGTGAGTTATTGTTTTGTTACTTGTCCCTGAAAGTTATGTAACTCGGTATCCTGTATAAGAGGCATGACTGAAATCAAAATCAACCATTTAAAATACTGGATCCGAGTTGGAAACAGCTCTTTACGGCATTGATCGATAGCCCACCCAGGCGTGGTATTCAGGGAATACTATAAACACCGCCGTATAAGAACCCTATACCATGTCCGGTGAATGTTTTTGTCTTCAGTGCTGTGGATGGGATTCCAGTGAGAGCACGGGAATGTCGGATCAAACGGAAACGGGTCTTGATATTGGACCAGATGAAGTGAGATTGTATCCTGTACAGATGATCAATACCTTTCATGAGACTAATCAAGGGGATATGAATCTAGGTTATGAGAGAGTGTTTGTACAGCGACCTATAGGTGGAACCTTTATTGAACCCCTTGATGAGACACCACCACAACCCAACCCAACTTCTGACAGGGACAGTGACATCAGGTTCCATGATGAGGAGGAAAGGTTGCAAACATTTTCAGGGTGTTGGTCCGACTTCTACCCGGTCGACCCTATCAGTTTGGCTAAAAATGGTTTTATCTTCATTGGACCTGGCGACCTTGTCAAGTGTATTTTCTGTTTGAATACGTTGGGGGGTTGGGAAACGGGTGATGTGGTAGAAGAAGAACATCGACGCTATTATCCAGACTGTCCTTTTGTACGGGCTGCACATTCACACACACACACACACACACATACACACACACACACAGGAGTTGTTTTAAGTAAATAAAATTTTTATATACATTTAAATGCTCTTTTGTGATTTATTGTAATAGCTGATTAAAAGGTGTGACAACTTTCCCATCCAACTTTGAAATCCTACGCAGTCAAAACATCGGTGTCTGTTATACACCGCAAACCAAACTTTTTTCACTCAAACCAAAAAGCTCTCTCTCTCTCTCTCTCTCTCTCTCTCTCTCTCACACACACACACACACACACACACGCAATCACAAAACGAACTTGTAAAGACAAAAACAATATTGCATCGGGAAAACTTCACCGACCCTAGTATAAACCATCCACCAACCGACTCTAAGACATGGATGGACCGAATTTGAAACCTGTCTTGTTGAAAACTTCACTGACCCTAGTATGAACTCACACACACACACACACACACACACACACACACACACACTCACTCACACTCAAACACACACACACAATCACAAAGCGAACTTGTAAAGACAAATAATCTTGCCTCGTTGAAAACTTCACCGACCCTAGTATACATTCTACCCACAACAATTCCAAGAACATGTATGCACCAACATGCCTCAGTGTTAACAAAACTCCCCCGACCCTAGTATGAACTCTACCCCTAACAATTCCTAAACATATATGGTCTAGCTTCGAACCCTGCCTCGGTGAAAACTTCACCGACCCTAGTATAGACTCTACACCAACCCCTTCCAAAACATCCGTGAACCAACATCACTCGGTGAAAACAAAATCCTTCCCACTCTAGTATGGATTCGGCCCCTAACACTTCCAAAACATACCTGTATCAACTGTGTAACCTGCCTCGGTGAAAATTTCACCGAGGCAGGTTTGAAACCTACCAACTCCAAAGCATACATGTATCAACTTTGAACCAAGCCATGGTGAAACCAAAACCATACCACCCTAGTATAAACTCTACACCTAGCAATTCCTAAACATGCATGGTCCGAGTTCAAAACCAACCTCGGTGAAAACTTCACCGACCCTGGTATAAACTCTACACCAACCAACAACAAAACATTGCCTAGGTGAAAACAAAAAACCTATGATACTGTCCGTATAACTGTTAGTGAAAAGCACGGGACCCAACCGGGGGAAAAATCGATTAACGTGGTAACAGGTGTTCCCACACTTAACGCTGGCTTTGCGTTAATTACCATACCCCCCGGTGGGATCGCTTCGCGAACCCACATAAATCATCATGACCCGTCAAATCGAGCGGGGAAACTCGGCGAAGCATAACAAAATTTAATTAGGTGGGACATCATGCTGTGATGGCCCGTGGGTGGAATCAATATTAACGCGCCCGTTGTCCAGTGTTTGACAAAAACAAAGGATTGCGGATCGATATGTAACAGATGTGGTTAAATGGATGTTCTATTTTCGGTAACCGTTCGTTGTGTTGCTGAATGGTCCCTATACAAAGACTGTTCTAGTACATGCTAGTGTTAGTCTTTTATTTAAAACATACATACAACCAAATAAACAAACCAACAAATTAAACAACAAAGAAAAGAAATATATCAAATTAATAAATAAACAAAAGTAATTAAAATCAAATTACGTAACTAGTTAATAATAATTTAACTAATTATAAAATAAAATAAAATTAAAAATAAACAAAATAAAAAATAATTAAAAAGTAAACAAATAATCAAATTACGTAACTCGTTAATAAAAATTACACAATATAAACAAAGTAATTAAACAATTTAAATCAAACAAATTAAACAATTACGTAATAAAAACACATTAAAATTACGTAACTAGGTCAAAAATTAATTAAAATTTTAAAAACTCATTAAAACTCATTAAAAAACGCATTAAAATTACGTAACTAGGTCAATGATGATGTCACAAGGTCACTAATTACGTCACAAGGTCAATGATTACGTCACAAGGTCACCAAAAGGTGACCTACTTCCCCACCACCTCCGCCAACCCCAGTTGGCGTAGTATTTTACTATATGTCTTTGCGCATCCTGCGCATCCTGCTCACCCACCCTCCACATCCCGATGCGCCAGGCTGGGAGTATTTTGCTATATGTCATTGCGCATCCCGCGCATCCTGCTCCCGAGTATTTTACTATATGTCATTGCTCCTCCACATCCGCTCCTCCGCCAAAAATACTACTCATCTCTCCTGTATGTTCTCACTCTCTCCTGTATGTTCTCACTCTCTCAATGTCAGACACATCTCTCCTGTATGTTCTTACTCTCTCCTGTATGTTCTCACTCTCTCAATGTCAGACACATCTCTCCTGTATGTTCATACTCTCTCCTGTATGTTCTCACTCTCTCCTGTATGTTCTCACTCTCTCAATGTCAGACACATCTCTCCTGTATGTTCTCACTCTCTCAATGTCAGACACATCTCTCCTGTATGTTCTCACTCTCTCCTGTATGTTCTCACTCTCTCCTGTATGTTCTCACTCTCTCAATGTCAGACACATCTCTCCTGTATGTTCTCACTCTCTCAATGTCAGACACATCTCTCCTGTATGTTCTTACTCTCTCCTGTATGTTCTCACTCTCTCAATGTCAGACACATCTCTCCTGTATGTTCTTACTCTCTCAATGCCAGACACATCTCTCCTGTATGTTCTTACTCTCTCCTGTATGTTCTCACTCTCTCAATGTCAGACACATCTCTCCTGTATGTTCTCACTCTCTCCTGTATGTTCTCACTCTCTTAATGTCAGACACATCTCACCTGTATGTACTTACTCTATCACAGACTCCAGTCAAACCCTCCGCATCGCTTTTGGCGGGTTTATCGGCGCCATCGCTTGTGTGGTCATCTGTAGCGGGGGTATCCGCCGGTACATGAAGAGCAGACCCAGCCGGTCCCTGCACTTCTTCCTGGGGGGTCACCGCATCAACATCGGCCCGACGGAGGGGGCGGGTGCTAGGAACAGCCGGCGTGCGGCCAACACACAAGACACGCCCTCGGTCGGTAAACGAGTGACTCAGTTTTTCCAGGTAAATTGGGAGGTTTTTTTACAGGTAAATTGTGAGTTTTTTTACAGGTGAATTGGGAATATTTTTCCCCAGGTGAATTGTGAATACTTTCCCCCAGGTAAATTGGGAATATTTTTCCCCAGGTAAATTGGGAATATTTTTCCCAGGTAAATTGGGAATGTTTTTTTATTCATGTTTATGTGTGGCTCAATAAATTTTGGAGCTTAATTTGCATCTTAATTTGAAGCTTAATTTTGGACTTAATTTTGAACTTAATTTGGAACTTAATTTTGAACTTAATTTGGAACTTAATTTGGAACTTAATTTGGAACTTAATTGGTGCCTGAAAGACTGCGGTTGATGTTTTGTTTTGCTGCTTGTTTGACCCGCCCGCGTGATTCAACTTTTGTGATCGAGTCAGGTGTTTTGTTTACACAACGAATGATAAATCCTCTATGGTAATCTGTACAGTAAAGTAGAGTTTATCGCCCTTTAAATCATAGTAGGACTCTACTCCATCATTGAACATCATTTTTGGTAATGCCAACTGTACTAAAACAATAATTGTCTCCTATGAGTAGTCACGGACAGCCGTTTATTTTTGTATTATCTAAATTATTAAGTAGATTAAGAAACATAAATAAAATCATTATGTTGATTAAGAAACGTAAACAGAGTCATTAAGTAGATTAAGAACCGTAAATAGAATCATTAAGTTGACTAAGACACGTAAATACAGCCATTAAGTAGATTAAAAAAACGTAAACAAAAAAAACTACTATCGATATTTGGTATCTCTCCCACAGAGGGTGGTAGCCAGGATCAGGGGCGTGAACTCCCCAAGTGAACTCGCCAGGTGGACTAGCGATGCCGCCCCGGGCGCCGCCAGAGATGCCAGCACTGCGCATGCCCACAGCGCTGACCCCCAGGACCTAGACGAGCACGACAGCTTCGGGTACCAGGCCATCCCAGTGGCCAGCTTTACCTCCGACCCTGCGGCCGTCAAGCCGCCGACCTACGAGGAGTCGATCAGCAACCTGAACCCGCTGTACCTGAACCCCCTCACCGGCCAAGCTTTCTACAACAACGGGTTCCAGATCAAAGACGAGGACCGGGGGTTCGTCCCGGGGTTCAGCCCCCCGCCGCCCTACTCTGAAAGCTACACGTCACACGACGTGACGTCAGAAGGTGGCGTCATGCACATCTGCACGGGTCCGAATTTCCGCACGTGCCAGATAAACACCCACACCGTCGAGACGTTAACGCCCGTGTCCTTGACCCCGTCTACGGAAGCGCTGACCAATAGAGTCCCTGGCAGCACAGAGGTCACTCAAAAAACAACGGAAGTATCTGGCCACGATGTTGAGCCCTCGGCGTGTGCTCTGTTCCCTGACCCACTACACACCAGTTCGGCACGCGCCAAGAACGTGCGGCCGTTAGACATGGACAACACACACACAACACACCGCAGCACGGCATCAGCTGCAAAGCCACCTGGCACTGACTCTACCACCGTAGCGTCCACTTGTATGGTAGATATCACCTCAGTGCCTACCACCTCAGCGCCTACCACCACAACCCACACCAACACGACACCACCAACAATAGCACCAACCTCCCACACCGAGCCAGCATCTGCCAGTTCCTCTGAGCCCGATCTGCCACACCCTACCGACACACATACAGCACTTGTCAGTGACATAACCCACAACACATCCCCACATACACGTGAACAGGAAACAGATGAACCACAAAACTTCGAGACTCTCACAATTGACTGTTTTCATTCAGATAACGACCACGATGCCTAAACCACCACATTCTGAAATACCTTGTTACTTTTGACATAATTATTCGTGCTGCTAATTTAAATACCGGTTCATGTTTTATACACAATGTTATTTTTTTTCCTGTAATGGAATGTCGATTCCGGTCATTGTAATAAGCAAAGTGTAAGGGTTTAAGTAAGGGTGTGGTTAAGCTTCGAGGAGGGGTGGGGGTGGCTAAGACGTATTGATCACGTGTTAACTATAAATTTGTGAGGGTATCAAAGTACTTGATGTAATTTTTGGACAAGCAGCAATTTTCCTTGACATTCATTAGGAAAGGCACACATTTTAAAAACCCACTTGTATTTCCTACTCTGATGTTATTTCTCTTATTTCAAGTTGTTTCCCTTTGTGATGGGAGTTAACCCATCAGTTTCTCTACACACAAATCCTGTAAAATAGTTACTGGATCCACATAACAAAAAAAAAAAATTTCTAAGAAAAATAATGCATTTTTTTTTGTTTTAGTAACATATTTGTGATTAAAACATTTATAAAATTAAGATAAAAAATATTTATTTTACATTTGAGGAAAAACAAACACAATGGATAAGTTGCAGTAAGTTATCTCCCATTATTCATCTTTATCTAATTCTAACTGCTGCTCCAGTAATCATGTTGTTTATATTCATATCTTAAGTAGGTAGGCCCGGGTGGGCCTCACGCACAACTATGTCGGAAAAATTCATCAAACGGCTATTCCTGCCTAAGTTTGGCATGGCAGGACATGCGCCAAAAACTCTAGAGATTTTCATAGAAGAGGGTTTTTCTTTAGCAACTCTCACAGCTGACGAACTAAAAAGAGAGCTATGTATGTTATGTAGCCTATCACCAGCTGAATTTGAAGGTCTGTATAACTACGGGACACTGCGTAGATGGTATGTCACCATTAGATCAAAGGAACTATATGAGAAAATGCACCTAAAAGAACTTCACAGAGATTTGCCACCTGGGGTAACATCCAGATAAAGAGTGCAGAGAATATCAATAAACCACGCCGATAAATCTGGGCAAAGGGGCGTGCTGAAATGGCTCCCTTCCAAGACAAGCGACGATGATATAATGGCGATTCTGAAATCTATAAGCAGTCAGGACTCAACACCAACATTTAAGAGAATAGACCAATCAAACGTGGTCCAATTCACCATCTCTCTGGAGAAAGAAGATATGGAGAGTGTCCCACACTATATTATACTTACAAATGAGGCCAACAAGGAGAGCAGAGTCCTTATAATCCTCAATGGGAGGAGGGTGCAATATTGCCACTGCAACACAGACAGGCACCTGCCTAAAATGTGTGAGCATTTAAAGACTCGCGCTCTTGACGGCGTCGAGCTAGTAGATGGACAGTACAGGGCAATTGAGCCTTGGGATGCAAATGATAGAGAAGAAGTTAGGGAGCATCTAAGTAACAATAGACATTTCTTAAAGCATTGGGACAGTTATGATGTTGACGGACAAAGACAAAATGAAATGCTTAGAGAAGCAAGGCATAGAGAAGTAGAAGATGCCTTTGGAGTAGATACCCAAACTGAAGCACATCATACTACTGCAGCATCACAGCAAGTTAACGAAAGCGTAACAGAAACTACCATAGAGGCCGAAGCCATGGAGACAATAGCGACCAGAAATTCCATAGTAACAGGGTCTCAAAAAGATGGGGATCAAGAAAATTTGGAGGCAGTCGACGAAACAATAAATGATATTTTTCAAGATAACACTAGTTCAGAAAACATAACGAATCCACTAAAGGAAATTAAAAGCCCACAAACTATATCAGCAACAAAGGTATCAGGTCAACTGTCATATAGTCAAGCAATCAGTTCAAGTAAAAAACAATTACTTACAGTAAAGCAACCTCAAAGGGTCGTGACCAGAGCCCAACGGGATAGCAAACCAGCGGCTGGAAAGTTTGGAGTTAAAAGACCACCACCATCCAGCCCTCCAGAAACAGATGTTCAAAAGAAAACCCCAAATAATTCATGCTAACTCTGGCAACATTGAACATCAGAGGGGCTAGGGACAAAACACATTATATAAACAACATAATAAATAAACACAATATTGACATCTTACTTTTACAGGAAACTAACATTGGAACTACAGAAGAAGCAAATAAGCTAGATGCATATATCGACAGTCTCAAGCCAAACATCACTCGATCAGCCATCAAGTAAATTAACATTACAACAGTCTTCTGTTTCCCAGGTTTTTAAAAGTGCACAACCTGAATGGTAGAAAGAGATACACACCTCACCGCCCCCCCCCACACACTTCCCCCTACTCAACCGGACTGGCGGATATTTCAAGGTAGCGTGCCCTCATTGCCAAGGGTCAATTTTATGTCATGGAAAGTTTTGAAATGATAGATCAGTGTGTGTATTAAAGAGACACTTCTCCCACGGTCGTTTCTATTTCGTCCATGGGTGGCTACATTGTGAACTTTTGACTCCGCAGCTAAGGAAGGAGCACAGTAAACTAAGCAGTCAAGAGAAACCTTTGCACACCTTATTTTAGTCTAGTTCTTATTCCATTTTATTTTCTCCCTTTGATTATTATATATGCAATTGATGTTCATGTCTTTGATGCTATGTAAAATCTATCAAATAAATTATTAAAAAAAAAAATCTCAAGTAGGTAGGGAAGGAAAAACTTTGCATATATATATATATATATATATATATATATATATATATATATATATATATATATATATATATATATATATATATATATATATATATATATATATATAATATATAAAGTTAAGTATTTTTTTAAAGAATGTCTATGTTTGTAAATTTCACAAAAAATTGATTACCATGCTTAGAGTTGACCAAGAAATCATTGAGTTAGAGAAATCGGTGGGTTTTTTCGTTGTGATTTTGGTGACGTCGTTATTGGTGGGGAAAAAACGGGGGGGGGGGGGGAATGGAGACTTTTTGTCATGATGTGTTTACACACAAATTAATTGCATCACTTCAGTTTTAAATAATTGTTAAAGCGATACATTTCTTTTTATTTGTTCAAACTGCTGTTTCTGTAATTCTGTAACTGTCCTTGAGTTGTTATTCTTTTTTTCCTGCACAATTTTTAATGCTTCAATGTCGTAAAATTTCATTAAACTTGCCAACACATTTTATTAAAATTGAATCATTTTGACTCATTGCTTTTCGTGTAATCGTAAGCATACAATATGGATAAAGATAAAAATACCATCATCAAATCACTAAATATTTTTATAATTTTTTTTTTAATTTATTGATAAAGATCATGATAAAGATCGAAACCTCGTTCATGTTAAAATGTTTCATACTATTCGCACCACTTAAAACTTGTTTCAAATTATTGTTAACACAATAATTATGACGAAAATAATGATTGTTGCAGGATAACTTCAACTGATTGTTGTGTAATCAATCACTTTTAAAATTAGACGAAAGAAATTAGTTGGATCTCATTCCTCCAAAAAAAATTTTTTGGTAAGAAATTAGTTTAAAATATTTGATTTCTCTTGCAAGCTTCTGGTCTGTTTATTGAAATAAATTCCATGTTCATTTAAATATAATCTGGTGTCAATTACACTAACCCCATTTACACCCATTCTATTAAACATCTGTTATGTAGAGTTTTTTTTTATTCAATATGTCTCTACATTGTAAACACTTTATTACAAAATAAAATATTTTTTAATGTTATAAAATAAAACGTGTTAGTTATTATAATTTTGTGATTTTTTTATCATGTAATATATTTTATGTAGCTAGGTAAAAAGCCGAATGAGAATTCTTATGGTATCATTCATGGATGTCTACATTGTGGTGAGATAGAGATGAAGTATGGTGAGATAGAATTGAAGTATGGTGAGATAGAGATGAAGTGTGGTGAGGTAAGGATGAAGTGTGCTAAGATAGAGATAAAGTATGGTGAGATAGAGATGAATTATGGTGAGATAGAGCTGATGTATGGTGAGATAGAGATGAAGTATGGTGAGATAAAGATGGTGTGGTGAGATATAATTGAAGTATAGTGAGATAGAGATAAAGTATGGTGAGATAGAGATGAAGTGTGGTGAGATAGAGATGAAGTATGGTGAGATGGAATTGAAGTATGGTGAAATAGAGATGGAGTATGGTGTGAGAGAGATGGAGTAGGGTGAGATAGAGATGAAGTATGGTGAGACAGATACGAAGTATGGTGAGATAGAGATGAAGTGTGGTGAGACAGAGATGAAGTATGGTGAGATAGAGATGGAGTATGGTGTGAGAGATATGGAGTAGGGTGAGATAGAGATGAAGTATGGTGAGATAGAGATGGAGTATGGTGAATAGATATGGAATATGGCTAGATAGAGATGAAGTATAAAATAGTAAGTACATGACATAAGTAGAAAATACCGAGTACATGACATTAGTAGAAAATACCGGGTACATGACACAAGTATAAACTGTCAATTACATGACACAAGTATAAACTGTCAATTACATAACATGAGTATAAAATGTCAAGTACATGACACAAGTATACAATGTTAAGTGAACTCTAATCGGCGTGTTTTAGCTGAATCTCTGTTTGTTGTTTTTTACTTAATTAAATCAAATCCCCTTCTTCTTAACATTTTTGCCGAAAATGTAGGCCCTATGTCTTTTGTGCTTGCGTGCACTGAATTAGATCCAGATTTAATTCTTATATACCGCACTGTCCTTGAAATTTCTTAGTTTTACCTGGAAATACCATGAATTGTTTGGAGAATGTTATGAACACTTTTTTCAAGCACGTATTAAAAAAAAAAAGTTTAATTTATCTGCATATGTGTTGCGTTACCGTGTCTTTAAAAACGTAAACAAAAACCATTTCTGTGACATCAACAAAAGTATAATTTCCGAGCATACAGCACGATCCTAAACATTAGAATAATATTTTAGATTCGAAATCTTGGGTTAGACGTCGAACAGACGTTGGTAAGAAAAAGATCAACATTAAAGCAAGCACCAAACTTCGTGAACAGGAGAGTTGCAAAGTTATCATATAGAAACCTAAAAATTCACTTTTGGAAGAATAGCTGTAATAATTTCTATACCTTACTATCCAAAATGGATACATGAGTATTGCAGAAATTATTGTGACTGCTAAAATGTTAACACTTTCTTTTTTAGGGTCGTCATCGAATGAGGAGAAGTTCGAATCTGTTTGCGGTAAAAGCGGAGTTTGGGGGCTGGTTGTTTCTTCAGCTTCAGTTTCCTCTTGTGGGCTCACCATTACGTGATATGGAGGCGGGTTGTTCAGTGGTTCGACATGATCACTTGGGTTCGATCCCACGACGTTCTGTGGAAGACCCAGGTCATCTTCACGATGTCTCAAGGTTGATGATGAAGCTTCAGGAGATGTTATGGAGTTTTCTAAAAGTAATC